GCGGCGGGGGCTGTGTGCTGGTGCTGGTCTCCTCCTGGGGGGCGGGGCTCTCTTTAATGGCGCCTGGAGCTCACCTCCGCGGCGGATCCTGCAGGGTTCGCCTCAGCTCCCGTTCACGGGGTGTGGTGGCTGCAATAGTTCCTTTCCACTCACAGTCCCGCTTGCTGTGTCCGTTTTTCTTGTGGGCCGTTTTGGTTTGTTGTTTCCCTCCTCTCTGCCGGTTGGAGAGTGCCGACTTTGTGGGCGGGGGAGGGGAGCAGGGTTCTGCGCTTCCCTCCCTTCTCATCCTCTTTTATGGCAACTTTCTTCTTCGGGCAGTTTGCTGGAGTCGTCCGTTTATCTTCCGTGTCCCAGTTCTCACTGGGACCTGCCGCTTTTCCTCCCTATTAACTTTTTTTAATGGGAGATCTTACTCGCAGCGTCTCCTCGCCGCCATGTTGCTCCGCCCTCTCCAGGTCTGTTTTTCTTTCACACACTAACCAAATCTTGTTATCTCTTCTTCTCAGCAGTGTTTTAATGACATTTTATTATAATTAAAATTTAAAACATATTAGCTATTTAATGGATGATATATGATACTCTCTCCCACAATTAGTTTTCATGTTTTCAGTTTGAACGGTTTAAAAAGCAACTACCACCTCCAAGTGTGTGGGGTGATTACTTTGATTAGAATTCCCTGGTGTCTGTGTATGTGCCATTAAACCTGAGTTAATGTAGACATGATTATGTGGCCATGAGTTCTATGAGGCAGGGGAGTCCTTTAATGAGAAGTCTATGTGCATTAGTTTAAGATGAGATTATTTAGTGAAACCATTGCCTTGTAAATCTTACACTTATATAGTGTATATTATAAGTCAGTAAATTTCAAAATTTTATCATAGTCCTTTTTCTGAGTGTTTTACACTGAAATTTGAAGTGTAGAATAGTTAATAAGAAACTATTGTCTCTCACCCAATTGACTCTTCAAGACCGAGGAGAAGGACAGTGGAGCTGTTTAACACATTCTCCTAAGTTATTACAGGTCAATTTTGTTTTTGTTCATTTTTGTGATGAGTTTTTTGTAGCATGGGAACCTACCTCCTATGGTTAGATTCTCACATAGGTGTGCAGTGAGTTGAATGGCAGTGATAGTTTATTGTTCCAATTTATGTCACCTCAGTGTGATTTAGTAGGAGTGTTTGAGTCCCATATGTCCTTTCTTTTTAACCCCCCAAACCATAATATGCTAGAATATTTGTCATACACATATGACACTCTGAAGATCTCATACTTCATGTGGGCTAAAATTTTACATGTCTAATTACATTCAGTGTAAATATTAGATTGCTTGTTCAATTCATTTAGACACAAGTTGATTGCAATTTTATGTCATTTTTTTTATTTCCCCAGTGTTCTTGTGTTTCCCCTCAATTTATTCTTTTTTTTTTTTTTTAAGTTTAGTTTCTTTTCTTTCTTTTTTTCTTTTTTTTAAGGTTTATTTATTTATTTATTTATTTATACAAGCACTGGGTATAGTCAGAAGCGCGGGAGGGTGAGAGAATTCACCAGAGTCAGAGCAGGATGCAGAACAGGCAGAAGGACCGAAGTACACTGCTGAGGGGAGCAGCGGGCGGCAGGAGAGGTCCAGCGCTCCATGTGGGACCCTCCTCTGGTGGCTGGGGAGCAGCCGGGGATCGAACCGGCACGGCAGAGGCTGCGGGCAGCTTCGCAACCCAGCGCTCAACCGCTGCGCCACCGTGGAGGCCCTCCCCTCAATTTATTCTTAATACAAAATGTGCATGACTAGTTTCAGGTGTGGACTTGGCTTTTTTAAAATTAATCTTGGAGTCATTTGCATTTTTCTGTCACACTACAGAATTCTTTAGAAATTATTTTTACTTGTCTAACCAACACACATTTCACTAATGATTAGAATTTTATTAGAAAACATATCCTTGATCTTTAGGAGACAAAGAATGAAAAGTTCAACTCAGTATCTGCAGTTAATCTGAACCTCATGGGGAAAAGGACAAGAAGTAGTATACATGTTTTGTATACCTATTTCTTTGGTTTTCTGAGCTCATGGTGTCTTGCTGAGGGGTTGTAAGGTTTAGACAGTGCATGTGGGGCAAAGGGTTTTTTAATTTTGAATGTGTAAGGGTGGAATAAAATTCAAAAAATGCTCACTTTTTCCTTAGCACTTAGAACTTTTCTTTCCTTAAATTCACTTTTGACTAAGGAAGAAGAATGGAATGGGCAGATAAGTATAATAGTGTTAGATGCTGAAGATGCTGTTTTTCTAATAGAAAATGACTGGGGCCATAAAAGTATTTGTGTGCAGAATTGTTTCATATAAAGAATGTCATTACTAAAAGCTATAATTGGAATAAAATTTAAAAAATTAAAAGATTGGAATAGAAATTAATGTAGTGATTTTTGCTGTTACTTTATTTCTGTAAAATTTCCCATTATCTGGTTATATAACTCAGTGTAAATTCATTATCATTTGACAGAAATAGAAAATGACTTAGAGAACTGTAATATACAAAGTTTTGTTTTAGAGATAACTTTACTTGGGGCTGTAGGATAAAGGAAGAATTAAGACTCCCTAAAATAGTGAATGTGGCTTATTAGTTGTATAATTATAAACTCTTTCACATATGTCAGAATGCATTTTTAGTGTACCTGAAAAGCTCAGTATATAAAGAAACCATATAGTAATATCTTTTAGTAAAGTGAAGCTCCTTTGGATTTTGAAATTCAGATTTTTATACTTGGCTTTTTAAAAAATAAAAATAGTAGAAAAATAGATTCAATTCCTTCGTGCTTAGGATAGCAGTGAAATTATAGAAAATAATAGAAATTAATCCATGAGAGTTTTTTTAAAAGATTAAAATGTGTGTGCGTATATATATATATATATACATACATATATATACACACACACACACACATGCTTTCAGATAATGTTTCTGTTCCTTTACCTGTAGGTAGGTAGATTGATAGTGTTTGTGCTTGAAATTAAAAGAATTTCTAGTCTAACATTAGTTTAGTGCTTTGGGCTTCAATTCCTTTTACTCTAGGTATCTCTGAGGATGTCTGACTTGAGACTGCAGTATTTTAAATTGGCTTTCTTATTTTATGTCAATCTCCATGGACTTAGTTATATAAACCTAAATATTCTGCTAGCGATACACATGACTCTTATTAGGAATTGGACACACCCTTATGTTTGAACATTGTTGACCATAGAGAGCCCCCTTATTTTTTTTTTAATTTTTTATTTTTTTAGAGAGCCCTTTTAAAGTCTGCATCACTCCAGCATACTGTCGTGGGAAAGAGAAGCAAGCTTGATAATAGGGCTTTTCCTCTCTTCATTACACATTGGTCTTATTTAGGTTGTGCAGCTGGTACACCGGGCACAGTTTCACTCTACTTATTCTTAGTTAATCTATGAAAAAAGTGGTAGAAGGCTAAAATTAGGATTCTACTTTAGGTATTAAGATCCTCTGCTTTTGGGTGGGGAGCAGGTAACATAGATAATCTATTCTATGAGAGGACAGAGATGCATACCGAAACCATTAAAAGAAGAAAAGGTAGTTTGATAAGACTAAACTAAATCAATAAACTGTCTAGCTTTAAAATTTTGATTCTGATATTTGAATGTAATTTGTAACTTTGATAAAACTTAGCCTGAAAATAAATCTCATGTGTGAAAACTATGAAAGATACATGAAAATTGAAATACATTGTCACAAATAGGTTTAACATCACAAATAGTTTCAATATCTGGTTATAATTCAAGTATTCCATGGAAATGATAAATACATAATGATGTAATTACATCAAGAACATAGTCTCTAACATAGTGCAAATTTTAGAGGTTATCATTAGTATGTTTCCTGTATTTATAACTATTGACTCAATATTTTTAATTTTCTAAGCCAATGCTTAGTCATTGTAAGAAAGTCATTCCTTACATGGTAGTTTTAATTTTTTTTAAGGTTTTCTGGATTGCCCTTTGAGGAAATGAAAATGTCAAACTCTTGGATTTATCATCCAATAAGAAAATTATTTTTTAGTGTGTTATTTTTTTCCTAAGTAATTGAAGAATGACTTCTCTTAGTATATATTTTAGGTTTAAAACTTAAGATGTATTTGAAATATTTTTCAGTAAAGAACCTATTTTAAAATTGGATGTTAGCATAAGTATATTGTTTGGCTATCTTAAATTTGAAGTAAAAATGGCATTTTGAAAACATAGTAATCACTTGTAACTCATATATTAAAAAGCAAGAATTGCTTTAAGACAGCTTAATCAGTGTTTCCTCTGAAGTATAAGTGGAAATCATTAATGTTCCAGTACCATATCATATTGCTTGTGTTCCTCTGATTTTTACTAATAATGTTTGTTGTGTGTGAACACTTGGAAGAAAATATATCAGGTGGCTTTTGCTCTCTTAGAATTCAGATCCTCAAGTGGCTTTGTCTCTCACTTTGGACAAAAAAATATAAATTGTTACTCAAGTTGAGATTATTTTTGTCCTGTTTTTCTATTTTGCAATTTTTCACATTTAATAGACCTAATGAACTATAGAAATTGGGACTCCTCATCCACTGTACTTATTTTGGAAAAACTGTCTGAGATGGGATTTGAGTAAGTCTTGATTCTGTGTGAATTGTTTGAGGGGGAATTGTGGTAAATAATAAAGTCTTGATAATTAAAATATCTAACTGTCCTTTTGGTTTTTTCTCTTCCTATTTATTCTGTAGTATTTTTTGCCATTAAGATTTTTGACCATTAATTTTTAGAAGTCTTTATGGGTGGAATGTCTTATTCTTACATGTTTAAATAGGATTGTATGTATTAGCACTACTAAAAAAGAGGTAAAAGTAATAAGCTGGAAAAACAGATGATTTATTGTTGAGAAAATACTGCTATCATTAAGCACATTGATTTTTCATGAAGATCATTTTCACAAGTATTGATCTCTTAAATTGGTAATATTTATTTGTTTCAGCATCAAAGCTGGACGACTCCTGTCCTACATTCCATACCAGCTATACAGCAAGCCGTCCAGTGTGCAAAAAGGTCTCAACTTTAATCCTGTGTGCAAACCTGAGGATCCTGAACCAGGTCCAAGCAATATAGCCAAACAGCTCAACAACAGGGTGTAAGTTTGTCTATATTTGGGTGTACCACAAAATTGATTTTTTTAGCATTAGCCATGGCCTCTACACTGCAGGAGATAGAAAAAAATAGGAGACCTGGCCATTCAGCTATATTAAATATGTTGAAATTTGCATGTGGATGTCGTTAATTTTTTTTTATTATGAAAGTTTCAAATACAAGTTGTAAACAAGGAGGCTTTTCTAATCGGATTAAAGTTGTATGTTAAATTAATGGATCGTATACATTATTAAAAGTAAAATTTTCTATGATTTTTCTTAAAAGCAATTATTTTACACAAGTATCTCAAAAACAGATTCATTACAGTTCTGCATATGTAAATATTTTATACCAATGAAAATTTAGTTGGTGGCCCTCAAGCATGTTTATTAGGTGAATCTAGACTTTTATTCCATATGATTGATATTTTAAAATATGCTGATGTAAGCTTTAATTGCAATAATCCTGGGTAAATTGGTTTCACAATTAATTGGTGTGTTGCCTTAACTTGTATATCAGGTGGTTCATTATCATTAGCCTTCTCATTTATTAAATTGCTTGCTTTGGGAGTTGGGTATATTTTTCCAAAAGGCCAAGAGCCTAATTAATCTGGGAGGATCCCATATCATCACCTTTTATAGTTTTTGTTGTCGTTTGTTCTTTAACTTGTATTTACCTATTCAGATGTTTTTCATGTTACCTAAAACTTAATTTTTTAGTACTATCAAGGTGTACAACAAATATCAGAAAACCTTTTCAAATGCATAACTTCATATTTTTTTCTTACTCACACTAATAAAAATAGAAAGTAGATGCCTTTTTTTTTTTTTTTTAGCATTCTTTGTGTCAGCTTCAGGAAAAATTTACCTGTTAGATTTTACTTCTTAATATATTTTTTTCTGTTGCCTGATAAAAATTTTTTACCAGTCATGATTTCCAGTGCAACTACTTTGTAAATATTTCTGTCTAGGCTGAAAAACTATAGTACAGAAAGAATGTATATTAGAATGTATTTTCTTACAAATATGTGCTTATGTTCCTAGTATACATGTAACGAATCTTAGTATTATTGACACAAGAAAACTAGATGTAAGGCTTTGACTTCATTTTTATTACTTTCTGTGATCTTTATTTTTTGGTATGTTCAATACATACTAAAATTTTTTTTTGAAATAACTTCTTCTCGTTTTCTCTTTATCTTAAAGACCAGGTTTTCTCTGACATCTAACGAATTAGATTTTCTTTCTTTACTCTTTTAATCATTTCTAGTTAGTCTTTTCCACTTCCATTGGCGTAATCATCTATGAGGATTGGACCTACTCAGAGTTGACTGTCATATTCTATGAGATGGTCAGGCAAAGCCAGAGCCAACCAAAAAAATGGGTGGTAATGTTTTACATCTCAGTCATGTGTTACTTTTCTAAGTAGTCAGACTGTCATTACCATTATACCAAGTTGGTATTAGGATGGGGACTTGAGTTAAAATTTAGTAATATACCTTGGTAATCTCACTTATGCCTTGGTGCTATAGATGGCACCCTCATCTAGGACCCGAATGGTAATGGGATTGATGTTTTTAAGTAGAATGAATTATTAGCTCCACAACTGAGGTTTTTGTTTTTGTTACTTAGATTCTCATGAATGCAAATGTTGTCTTTATTACAGAACATTACCAAGCAAACATCTAGAGGAGGTAGGATTTAAATTTAGCCTAACATTTGCCATAGCTCTACATTTATAATTTTGCAATTAGGAAACTTGGTCCATATTGTCTTGGACCAACATGTATTAAATATGTTTAAATATGCCTTTCTTAGAAATAAAATGCTATTTTTCTTGTCAATAAGACAAGTGTCCTCATTTTTTAGGTGTAAATTTACTGAATTACCCATAGATATTGATCTGGTTCTTTTTTATATGTATGTGCAGCAGCTGGCTGCAATAATGGATTGATGAATATAGTTTGTTCTTTTCCTGACTGATACTAACTGGCCTCAGGATTATAGCAATGTTGCTTTTCATGTGCGGAAATAGTGTCTTACATAAAACTAAAGTGAGGGTGATAGGGATAAGAATCCAAATAAAAATTTCTACCTATTTTTGTGGGAGAAATTCATAGTATATTAATTCAGCAGATATTTATTGATAGTAAATGCCAGGCACTGTGTTGTACACAATATAAAACTTAAAAGATTCAGAATAATTTTTAATGAGAAAAGTAACTGAGAATAGTTTGGGTTTTTCTTCAACCTAGAAAAGACTCCATTATATTTCTTCTTTAAGGGTGTCTGAAGGTAAGAAAAAAGAAACTTTAAAGGCTGTTTTACTAGTTACTTTACTACTTTGGTTTAGCAAAGAAATACACCTTTTGTTGAATGAGAGAATATAAATTTATGACTTAATTTTTCAGTTTTTGGGGTGACATACCAAAGTGTGTATTGCTAAGAAAATTTTTTTTTTTGAATAATAAATTTTATTTTTATATTCCCCATACAATTGCAACCCCCCCATTCTGACCCCAATCCCTCCCCTCCCATCCCTCACCCCCCAAAAAGTGTCTCTGGTTCATAGTTTTTTGTTGATTTTGATTTTCACTTTGCTAAGAAAATATTTAAATGAAAATGTTTTAACCTGTAAAGTCAGCCACTAGTAATTTACATAAAATTTTTTTTACTGCTTTAGAAATCACGTAATTAAGAAGATTGAGACAGAAAATGAAGTCAAAGTGAATGGAATGAACAGTTGGAATGAAGAAGATGCAAGTGATGATTTTAGCTTTGTGGAACTGGAGCAGATTTTTCCCAAAAGGAAACAAAATGGAATTCCCCATCACAGAGACAGCACTGCCATTTTTAATGGACACACTCATAGCTCTAATGGTGCCTTAAAGACACAGGATTGCTTAGTGTCCATGGCCAACAGTGTTGCCAGTAGGCTTTCTCCAGACCCTACCCAGGAGGAGGAGAAAGCTGAGAAGAGCACCACTGACTTCAGAGACTGCATTGTGCAACAGTTGCAGCAAAGCCCCAGAAACACAGATGCTTTGCGGAATCCACACAGAACTAACTCCTCGTTATCATCTTTGCACAGTAACACTAAAATAAATGGTGCTCACCACTCCATGGTTCAGGGGCCTTCAAGCACAAAAAGCACTTCTTCAGTACCTGCTGGTAGCAAGGCAGCATCTTCAGTGCCATCCAAACCTTCAGACTGCAGTTTTATATCAGACTTCTATTCTCACTCAAGACTGCATCACATATCAATGTGGAAGTGTGAATTGACTGAGTTTGTCAATACCCTGCAAAGACAAAGTAGTGGTATCTTTCCAGGAAGGGAAAAGTTAAAAAAAATGAAAACAGGCAGGTCTGCACTTGTTGTAACTGACACAGGTAGATACTAAAATTGTTTTCTTAAATAGTCATACTTGATCATTTTTTTCTTAAGCTATCATTGCTAGTCTGATCAATACTGTGCTCTCATAAGTCTTTAGGGCAATCAGGTTATATAAGTTTAATTATAGAAAATATATTAAACTATTCTTAAAGTTAGATTTGTGACTAAGTAAAATTTTCAGGTAATTTAAGTAGTAACAAAGTTGGGATTCTGATCATTCATTCCTCATGTAGACCTTATCAGTTGTTAAAGTTTTTGAACTGTGTAAAATATAATGTATATTATATTCAGTGCTTAAATTCCTGTAAGAATGGATTGGTTTGGTAAGAGTAAATGTTAATTTCCAGAAGCTTGCATCATGATTTTTAAATAAATAACTTTGACACAATTACGGAATTACATTGGTAAACTTATAGTGAGATATTAAGTATTTCATATATAAGTAGATTGGGTAATTGTACTTTGTTCTCTAATACTTGTCATCAAAAACAATATCAAAGAAGTCATTATAAGATAGTATCTGGTTTGAGGCTTTAGTTGCTTTTTACAATTTATGTGAGGTTTTTTTAGGGGGAGGGATCTCCCTTTAATTCATAACTTTGGAAACTGAGACACAGAGAAAGTCTTGGTTTTGTCCTAGAAAGTGAGTCTCTCCAGGTGGGTTGTTGTTTTGTGGGGGGAGTGGGGAGTGGGTTATAATTTGCTGTGTGCGATGTATTCTTCTAAATGCTTTTTGTTACTTACGAAATACTGCAGAATAATGTCATAGTTATGAGATTAACCTTATATCATGCCTTGGCCCTAAAAGTCATTAATTTTGAAAATTTCAAAGAATTACTGTGAATTCCATGAATGGGAACAGAATAATTTTCATATGGTATGAACAATTTAAGTAGACATTTGGTATATGCATTCTCCACTACTTGAATGTTTAAGGATTTTTTGGGTGGTTTATGTTTATATAATACTTTACACAGTAAAGTATGGTTAGAAAGATTTATAAATTTTTTCTTGAGGTACTACAGAGGCTAGCAAGTAAGTGCATGGCTTTGCAATTAGAGAACAGCCTAATCCCAGCCCCACCTCTCCCACTTTTTATGGCACAGGACCATGAGCAAGTTAGTTCACCTCTGAGTTTGTTTCCTCTCCGCAGAGTAACAGGTTTCCCACAATATTCATTTCATGAAGCTGTGAATTTAAGGAAATAACATGCACAAAGGCATCAGAGCTGTATAAAGCATGTTAGTGTGGATTGCTTCTTTATATCAGTGGGTATATGATATAGACCAGATCTCACTTAGTGAGAACCAGGTGAATGCTTACCCATTCACAGTTTGGTCAATGGAATGGTCCTAACCTTTTGGGAAGTAATTGTATGTTTTTGGAAACCCTTTATGGAACCTAACCCTCAGTGCTAGTATGTTTAAATCTATCACAGAAAAACTCCTTTATGAGATCAGAACATTTTATAAGCATAAGGCTCTTATATATATCTTGGAGGATCAGAAAATAAGGCTAAGGGTGAGATGGATATAGAGGAACTCTTTGGTTGTAGGTGGATTCGAGTTAAAATAATCGTAATTTCTATAACTAGGAGTGATTAGAAGCCAAATTCCTTAGGAGAGTACACTTGCTTTTATCGCTATAAAATGGCATATATGCTTCAGAGCTGATGTTTAGTAGTATTTAATAACATAAGGAGAAAGGTGTCATTTGTGTATAGCTTGTTTTATAAATTATTTTTTTCAGTATGTATTCAAAACAACCTGTGGTGGTGTGATAGCTCTGAAATCAGATTGCCTGGGATTGAATTCAGCATCTTACTGGCTGTATGACTCAAGCAAATTATTAATTTGTCAAACAAAGAAAAATGGAGATAATAAGATTACTGACTTCATAGTGATGTTTTGAGAATTTAAATAAATTAATATATGTAAACCTCTTAAAACTGTCTGACACCTGTCAAGTACTCAATAAAATAGTTTTTAATCAAGGAATATTTGTAGACTACATGAAATAGCAATCATCTATAGTTACTTAGTCCCATGAAAACATTACATGATAACACATATTTTATAGAATAGTGAGTATACAAATAATTTTGATAAGTATTTAGACAAAATTTTGAGATATAAAGAATAGACTAGGAAAACATGGTATCTTTACAATTTACTTAAAATCATGTTTAGAAACTAAATTTGTATTTCCGAATTACTTTTAGAGCCAAAGTAACTGAAATTGACTTCTCTTGAGGAGGTGGTGGAGATAACCTGTAGTAGATTCTGTATTTTTAAAGACATTTTTCTACTTGTAAGAATTTAAAAATATAATTTCTAAGACTAGCTAGACCTGACTTTTTAATATTAAAAGTTAGTTTGGGGTTTGAATGTTCTTTTTTTCCTTCTAGGAAATATGTCAGTATTGAGTTCACCCAGACATCAGAGCTGTATAATGCATGTTGATATGGATTGCTTCTTTGTGTCAGTGGGTATACGAAATAGACCAGATCTCAAAGGTCTGTATATTTGTTTATATTTTTTAGAAAATCAGCATATTGTTATATATATTCTAAGGGATCACAAGTTCTTCTTTAAGAAATACTTGTTGTGATTTTCCTGGCAAGACTGATTTTTTCCTCCAAATTTTCCAGACACCATTATTAAGAAAGATACAGGAAATTTAGAGAAGGTTTAATTCTCTCTAAAGATATCAAGCCTATTTAGGGAAGAACGCTATCTTCAGCTGAAGGATTTGTCTATAAGACTAACATAGGCAGGCTGCATTGGACATATCCTAAATTTGCTGTTGATTTGTTAATAAATGAAGATTTTATAGTTGTAGCATGAGTCTTCGTGACTTGAGTCACTATTGCCTTTCTCTTGATTAAATGATTAACTACCTTGATGCTAGTGATCATTTCCAAATTCCTGACTGTAAAGTAATTTTGTGTTATTGAATATTGCCAAAATATGTAAAGTCTTCTGTCTTAATGGAATTTGAGGTGTTTGTGAGCCACTCAATACTTGTAGAAACTTTTTTCTGGATATTTTAGTAGATCTCTCTGTGTCTGGAAGAAATAACTATTAGCATTTACTTCTGAGAGTCAGTTCTTCTTTAAGGGAAGTCCAGAAAGCTGCTGGTTACTACCCAGGATTAATTTTTGTTATGAGTAGTTGACGCTTCAGCTCTGAAAGGATTGTTGGAATACTAAAGAATTGACTTTAGCCCATGAGTAATGCTGCATTGTTTAAATTTTGTACTCACAACCAGTGTATTCCATAAAATAGAAATAAATTATTGATGTTACTGCTTTTAGGAAGTAAAAATTATCTTGTAACTTAACAAATACATGAAAGGTCTTATAACTGAACCAAAAACTGAATGACTGTATATTCATTTATTATATAGTAAGCCAGACTGATTCCTCTGCATATATGGTTCTTGTTAAAAATTGAGAAAAATTACTTCAGATGTTAGCCTACTTTTCTGATATCAGAAATATGAAAGTCTAGACTGAAGTTTTTTCTCTAGAATACAGACTCCCTATTTTGTAATGTTAAAAAAAAAAACAAAAAACATGGAAAGCTAAGTGATAGTGTTGGTTTTAAGTTAAATAAATGTATCACAGTTGCCATAAATAGTTTACCTTAGCGGGCGTGTTGGGAAACTACATGACCTTTGCATGGTGATTGATAATCTTTAAAGATTTTAGTTCCTTTAGCCTAAAGCTAAAGAAAAAACATATTAAAATAACTCAAAAACTTTGACATAGTTATGTCAGTTGTTAACTTTACTATACTTAAATTTTAAGCTTTTTTTTTTCCCCCCACAGGAAAACCTGTGGCTGTTACGAGTAACAGAGGCACAGGAAGGGCACCTTTACGTCCTGGCACTAATCCCCAGTTGGAGTGGCAGTATTACCAGAATAAAATCCTGAAAGGCAAAGCAGGTACAAATGAGCTCTCTGAAATAATAGTGGTCCTGCTGAAGACTTCTAAATTTTGCTGTTGGTACTGTTGTTACAGAAATGAAAGTTCAAATACGGTTTTTAAGGGTGTCAGTGACATTTTAAAATCTAAATGTAATACAAGTGACTGGTTTATTGTTATACTTTGTTGAATTCAATGATGGGACAGAAAGGTTAGAACGTTTTAAAAGATGGTTAGTTTGCTTTGTATAACTTTTGATTGGGGATGAAATTTATGGATATCATTTTGTGGAAACCTTTAATTTCAGAGTTAATTACTAGTTCAGTCACTGATCACCAAAGATTGCGTGTGTCTCTCAAGATTTTCTATGAGACAGTGAAATAAACAGAACTTCAGTTTAGTGAAATGAGATAAGATCAGTTATTCCACTTGCCCAACTGTTTTATATAAGAAACTCTTCCTGCCACTCTGGCTTTAAAATTTTGTCTAGTAAACAAAAAATCATAAATTATACTAAACATGATAATATTAAGATTTTCATATATCTTCTCCCCCCTAAGTTCCCTGAGAAATATTTGCTCAGAAATTTAAGTTATTGACACTGATTAGTTTCCTCATGAATGTCTGCAAAGCCAAAAAAATGTTTAAATTAGCTTTTTCAGAGAAGTATTCATCAAAAAGTTGTTTGAAAGACAGTAGAATTGAAGGCACGCTGTCTAATTTCAGCCCAGTTATTTCAGGACCCTAGGTTTCACTTATAAAATCTATGTTAGAAATAACGAAACTAAGTCAAACACACAGCCAGTGCCATCCCAGAACTTTTTGGGGATTAGTCATTTGTTGGTTGTGATCATGTGTTTAACATTGTATAAGTACAAAAGTAAATAATTGTAGATGTATCTTTATACTTCATGTGTACCCATATTTTCTAGATTCCCTAAAGCTTTTCTTGGTCTTTAAATCTTTTAAGAGGTTTTGAGATTCTAGCATTTTGTGTGTCATGATTAGATCTTGGGGTAGCTAATATCAAGCTTGTTGAGATTCAATTGTACTGTGGTATTTGACAATATGGGTGGTTTCTTAAGTATTGGTAGTATGGTTTTGCGGTAGATTGGTTTTTCTTTTTATTTTCTATTTGGTATCATTTAAAAGATGAAATTGTAAGTTCTAGAAAACAACTAGCTTAAGGAAATGCATAATACTTGTCACATATTGAGCACTCAGTAAAAACTTATTGAATGAATGCTGAAATAGGACAAAGTGCCATGTTCACACTGTTGAGTAGAATGTCACTCAGTGCTCAGTTTTTTCCAGGGTGGAATCTTGATTACTGCGCATGTCCTCTTTTCAGCAGTCCTTGGCAAGCACACATTCCATAGGAGCAGCAGAGAACTACTTCTCTTTCGTCTTTCCTCCATCACTGATGATCTGACCGTAAACAGTTTAATAGAATATTGGCATTGGCTACTTAATTGTCTTCATCAGTTTTGCCACTGGATTAACAGTGTTAACCTTTTATAATTTACATATCCTCTGCTTCTAAATGTGGGTGGTAAACTAGAAGGTAGATATTAGGGGAAATACTGAAATTTTATTTGCCATTGACAACTGTCAAATAATTTTTCCTTTCACTAGAGAAGGTGAATATGATACTTTTATGCTTTCTCTTTAACTCGATGTCATTCACTTTCATATCTTAAGCCTTTGACCCGTTAAGAGCTTACTAAAATATTTGCGACATATAAAGCAAATAGATTGTTCCTTATTATAAAGTTCAGCTGCAACTGAGCTTATACTTTGAACTTTTTCAATGTCTTTGTTCCTCTTTCCTTGTTACTTCCTGATCTTTCTTTCTCTGGGCCCTCAGAGACTACACCACATTTGAAAATATTGAGGATTAATTTAGGAATTTGGCAGAAGCCAAAGATTCTTTTAAGAAAATTCACTTTAATGTTTTGGCTTGTAATCAAAGCAAAGTATTAGAACAAATAGCATCTTTAGCCTTTTATAGAAACTTTAGTTTCTTGCTTGTCATATTCAGAAATTCTTGGTTCAATCAGACCAGCATAACGAGGGGATCTCCATTCCTGACTTTCTTTGGAAACTGCTTATGGGGCAGTACCCAGTCGTGACACTTTTCATTGATGATCCTATTATTTGGAATCCATTTATACTCATGATTTCAAGGATGGGACCTTTTATCCCTTGCTGGATTCCAACATGCACATGTTTTCTATCCCTTCAACAACTCCAAATTTCATTCTGAAGAACAACAGTTTTACAAATCGTGTTAGTCATAGATTTATTCTCAGCGATTTCTTTTTCACAGACTTGGGTCCTGGCCTCTGATTTCTCCAACCGTTTCTCCACATTCTCCATGTGCCCGTCTAGTTTGTCAAGTTTTGATGAGCAGTTCTCTACTTTGCCCTCCAGTGAGGACAGTGTGTCCCTGCATTTCCCTGAATCTCCCATGAAGCAACTCACTGCGCTCGTGGAGGGATCACGCACTCTGCTGCACTGTGGAAAAGGTCAGCCAGCCCAGTGAAGAGAAACACGAGGTGCTGCCCCTCAGGCAGGGGACATCAGCACAGGGACTACAGACACTGTTCTCACCTCAAGCATGATTTTTCTGTAATTTTCAAGACAAGTACCTTAGTTTATTTAACTAGCCCTTCAAATATATCACCTAACTCCCCAATTTTTAAGGCATAACTCATGGTTATGCCTTTGAAAGGCACCTGATTGTGACTGTTCAAGCTTCACTTCTTCCTTTTTTTGGTTTAGTAGCAGCCTCTGTTAAACTCTGATACTGACAATTTTAAAGTTCTTTGATTTTTCAGATTAGAATAATGAACAACTAAAACTAATACTTAGACTTCTAAAACCCATCGGAAAGACTGGGTATTCTGCCCTGCATTCTGTCTTTAGTTTGTCACAGTTAGTCCTATGTTAATCATGACATATCAGAAATCATAGCTCATTGTATACTCTTGCTATTTTTATTTGTGATGCTAGTGGGATTTGACCCTATTAAAATGTGAATACTGATTTTGATTTTCATTTATGATTTGTGTATATGGGTGCTAGAATACAAAAATGCTTATGGGTTACATAGTTGGATAAAAGCTGATGATTACTGGACTCAAACCAAGATGAGTTGCTGTAGTTCACAAAGTCAGACACTTTGCAATGTTTTTCTGGCGGTGTTTTTTAACTAGACTGATTTTTCATGGAACTTTATGTCTATGAAATAAACAAGATAAATACTGGGTTTGTTATAGATTGTTGCAGTGTGCTGTAGTGGTCGATTTTGGTCTTGTTTACTAACTGATTATACTTTTGTTAATGAGGTAAAACTATGGCTGTGATTGTGTTTTTTAGAATGTGTTCTTGGAACTCAGTAGTAGCATCCCAAGAGATCTATAACTGAAGTTGTTTTAATCTATTTCTCAATTACTAGTGAAATAAAGGTGGCTAAGGAAGTTAAGTGGCATGCAGTCAGTAGGTATTCAGACTCTGCTTTGATATTCTTGTGTAAAACTATAAATTTGACTTGGATATTAAGAGATATTGGTGAGCTGAACTATTTAAGCTAGAGATGTAGTCTGTAAAGCTGTTGACATTCGGATCACATTTGAATGTTTCTAATTGAGCTTGTATTGTTAAGCCAAAAGTAGAATTTCCTGAAAAGGGGGATAATTTATGAACCTTTTCCACTGTTGTCTATGTCAAAAAGAAAAAAATCTTTTTTTTAAAGATTTATTTATTTTTGCATACAAGAAAAATCTTAAATTTAGGATGAAACCATTTTATGGTATGTGATCTAAATTATTCATTGAATGACTTCAGGAATTTGATGCTTGTTGAGCAACTTTAAGTTTTGCAGGTAGTTCTCTTAGGAAACAGCAAAGAACATTCAGAGAAATTCATATCTTGCATTACCTATTTCCCGTTACCTTTTGGAGTTTTTTTTTAAAAGTTTATTCAAATAGAACATTCATCAATTTATTCTAACTATCTGACTGTTGATGACGAATATAATTGAAGCGCAAACCATTTTAGAGTTATAGTCCATTTTATTCAATGAAGAGATAAATACCAGTGGAGATAACTACCTGGAATTTATTATAACATTTATGTATGAAAATAAATTTCTTGACTAAAAGTTCAGGAAAAATCAGTTTTTAACAAACTATCATTGAATTTTATTATTTTTAAAGCAGATATATCAGATTCATCAATGTGGGAGAATCAAGATTCTGCTCAAACAAATGGAATTGATTCTGTTTTGTCAAAGGCTGAAATTGCATCTTGTAGTTATGAAGCCAGGTATGTAGAAATTAAGTATGGTTATATTTGTGAATAGTTTTTTTACTTAACTTTTTTTGTAATTTTTCAAAGTCAATTCAGACATGTTAGTCAAGCCGATAATTTAAATGTTAGAGACATGTTATGGAAAGAAATGATTCTATTCTTAATTTGTCCGTTCCTTTAAATAAAGTAACTTAGTTTCCTGATGAACCAAGAGGTCCTATCATGGAAATCAAAAGAAATTAGATTTTGTGGTTAAGAAAATGTGACTTTGAAAGCATGGCATTAAAGAATTGGATATTTTTGAATGTGAGAGGGCCTTTAATATTCTTTTACTCTAATCATTCCTTTTTTCAGCTAAGAAAAAATCCTTTAAAGGATTAAAAATCCTTTTATCCTTTAATTTTAATCTGATACTTGTTTTGTAAAATTATGTTAAAATTTGATTAATTATTAAACAAGTAAGTAATTCTGTATCGGCATACCTTATAATCTCGTATTTGCAGTGTTGTCACCTTATTAGCACCAACTTTGTTTTTAGGTCTTTATTTAGTAACCTTATTTCTATATGAGAAGAAATAGTTTTGTTTTGTTTTTTTTTTTAAGATTTATTTATTCATACAAGAGCTGGGTTACAGGCCAGAGATGCAGAAGGGTGAGAGGATGCACCAGAGACAGAGTGGGGAACAGAACAGACAGACTGACTGAAACACACTGCTGAGGAGAGCAGCGGGAGAGACAGGAGAGGTCTGCTTCTCCATATGGGTTTCTCCCTAGCCGGCAGGGACTTGAACTCATGCTACCAAGGCTGTGGATTGTTTCATAGCACGGTGCTTAATCCTTTGCGCCACCAGGGAGGCCCCAAGAAATAGTTTTTATACACAGACGCACACATGTTCCTTCTGCTTTCAAAAATTAATCATTTAAAAATAATTGGTTGTAATAGCTGTGAACGTAAAGGGACTAATAATGAATTAATTGGAAGCAGTGGTCTTTTATTTAAATTTTTTTCTCCCTAATAACTTGGACACAGATATTTTTATCTTTATACCACAATAAGCATTTAACAACATGTTGTTGGCAGTTGTTTAGATATTTATTAATCATAAAAAAAGTGTCTTACCAGTTATGTTTTGCCCTTTTTTTAAAAAAGAAGTTAGGTAGTATATTTATATTTTTGTCATTCATATATTTTTATTGAGGTATAATTTGACCCATTAGTTTCAAGATACACAGCATAATGATTTGATATGTGTATTATAGTCTTGAATGAAACCTAGGGTTCTTCAAACAGTCTAATCTGAACAAAAAATATTTTAATTCAGCATCCTCTAGCCATATTAAGTTGTTTAAAATTTTGCCAGTTATTTTAGAAAGATGTTTAAGAAAAAGCTTTATGTCTAAGCTTGCATAATTAAAATATTTTAAATTATTTCCCTCTTTAGGTATATCAAACTTTTATTCCCAGGCTAGTTTTACCTTTCTCATTGACAGAATTATGTTTTAATCTTATTCATTCTTAGCTGATAATGTAGCCAAAAAATTGAAATTTAATTTTTCATTAAAAAAAATAAGTCAAATGCAAATGCATTTTGGATTATTAAATTTTTATTAATGGAGGCAGTTCAGAGTTGGTTTTATGTTGTGCCCAAAAGGCTTGTCTCTTCTTTACTTACTAAGTTTTATTGAGTCATGACTTGTGCTTCTGATGGCTGGACAGTTGTTGTCCAGGGAGTAGTCCAGGGAGTAAGGAAACCACTTGGTTCCTGATGATGTATTTTGCTTATTGGTGAAATGAAAGCTCCTCTCTTTCTGTGTTGCCATTTCAGGATCCCTCTTCTCACTCCCCAACCTGAACGCTGGATGGGAAGTGTCAAAGCTGCTTCAAGGGTAGAAGCATTACTTGCTGCTGATGGTTTTGAACTCTTGTAGCTGCTGTTGTTTCTAGACTGTAGGCTTATATTGGTGTTTGGATAGTGTATTTATTTGTATTGTACCATAGATTTTGGCTGTCAAGCTCAACTATTACAGAGTAATTGGATTAATACCATATGAGGGACATTTAATGTAAGTCATTTAATGCACCTTGAATGACACATATTTATTTTAAGGAAATGCATACAAGGATGAAAATAAATTTGAGTATAGAACTGGAAGGGATTATGCTAAGCAAAATAAGTCAAAAGGAAAAAGAAAACCCTCACATGATTTCACTTATGGGTGGAATATAGGGAAACCGAACAGAGGGTCAGGGTAAAAAAACTTGCAGGCAAACCATAGATCTGAGGCATACAGCAAGATGTAGGAGATGGAAAGGAGTCAAAATGGGAGGGAAGAGCACAAGGGGACTATGGTGATGGTGACTAAGAGCACAGGAACTGTGGCGGTGGGAGAATTATGGTACACCTGAGGGGAGAAATCAGATATTGTACAAAAATGAAGAAAGATGTGATGTAAGAAAATAATAAAAATAAGTAAAGAAATTTGAGTTGGGAAAAAAAACACCCACAGCAATGGGGACTTTTTTCTTTTAATCGTAATTTTCCACTTTCTAAAGGCTATTTCTAATGAAGGTCTCAAAAAAAAAAAAAACTTCCTGTGTATCCTTATTTGGTCTAACAGTTACATTTTCCTTAAGTGAGAATTTTTTTTAAGCTGTAATTGCATGAGAGAAATGCTTCTCAGGTTAGAGTGGGGACTGGGTTGTGGGTGTGTTCATCCCAGTTGGTGTATTAAATGAGCTTTCAGTAGACATAACACTAATAATTGCATCAACAAAGAGTGGAATGAAATATGTGATGAAGGATGTGTATATATAGATCAGAGTATGATATGTACTATCAGTTTTACCCCATACTTACCATAAAAAATAAGCTTCTACCTAGTGAGAAAGTAAGTATGTTAATGAACAGATAGGATATACAAATATTTTAGAATTAAAGGTTTTTATATCACATCATTTTTATATCTGTTTTCACCCCTTCAGTATTCTTGACTAATAACATGGATGTCTCTTAGTATATTGTACAATGACAATGATTTACTGGTTAGTTTTTTGATATTGTCTAACACCAAATACAATTGTCTGAACATAGCATATTGCAAAAAAATGTTTTTACAGCATATACTTAGGAAGTATTGGTAGTTTATCCTGCATAAGATTTTTGTTGGGAAAAAGAGTCACTTTACACTGCTTTTGTAATTGTCTTTTCTCATTTATTTTATATGATTCAAATCTAATTTCCCAACCACCATCTTAAGGTATTTTGCTTTCTTTCATTACGGGAATTCCTCTTTGGTTTTCATTTTTGTATTTGTAGTTTCTTTACAGTGATGTGACTCCTAAACATTCCTCTCTAGGGGGTATATATGCAGAAGTACATAAGTACAGGTATTAAATTTTTCTAAGTAATATGCCCTTGAAAATCTTTGTATAAGTGAAAATTTTGAAAATGAAATTTTTATTTGTAAGTGTTTTGTATGCCAAACCTGTATATCTAACATTATTGAAAATGTCCTAAGACTACTTATGTATTTCTATATAGACTCCTAAACTGTTATACTTGCACTTCCTTGCCTTACTAAAGTTCCATTTAACTCTGTCTTTTCCTTTGGGGGAGTACAGGGCATCTTCATGAACATCATGAGGTCTGCTTTGTCCACCATCTTTTATTCAACATCTTGCAAAATGCCTAAGAGAAATTTTTGTTGAATAAATGAAAAATTGCTTTCTTTACCTTGCTGCTTATCAGCTGCCATTTTCTTTACTGTCATTTTCCTTTCTATAACTTGTCTACCAGGGGCTTTGCAGTCAGATGATGTATTACCATTTTTTTAAAAAAACATTTATTTATGCATACAAGAGCTGGGGCACAAGCCAGAGGTGTGGGGGCAGGGGGGCGATGAGAGAATTCACCAGAGATAGAGTGGAGAACAGAACAGGCAGATTGACCGAAGTACACTGCTGAGGGGAGCACCTGGAGAGCCAGCAGAGGTCTGCTGCGCCATGTGGGTTGCAGCCTGGCTGGCCGGGAATCGAACTTGTGCTGCAGTGGCTTCAGATTGCTTCATAGGCTGTGTCTTAACCCTTGCACCACCAGGGAGGCTCTGTATTACCATTTTTGCATAAAAAAGAAGTGCATATGATATTGTATTTAACTCAGTAAGTTGGAGGATTCTTTCACTTTTTAGCTCTCGCTGGGTGGTTTGAGTGGAGACAGTGCCAGAGGCCTCTGAGCAATTGGAGACTATTTGCATATGTTTCCTAAACACCATACCAAGTCAGCATTTAGTAAATTTTCACTATCTTTGTCTATTTTAGAATAACTATTTGATGTACTCTTAGAGGAGTATGCAATCTGGTGAAACATTATTGTGCTGCTTTTACTTCAGTATTTTTTTCTTGATTCATTATAGAGTGGTAAAATGGTATTTTACCAATTTTGTAACAATTCCATAATTATAGTTTTGTGCTGAATGCACCAAACACCAAAGGTAATATGGGGCACTGAGACAAGCAATAGATTTAAAATTTACCATTTTCAATTAGGTCCCTCAAAGTTCTGGAACCCTGGCTCCTGCCCAGAATGATGTCCTACCATATACAATGCTGTTGGCATCTCAACCACTGTGGAGCCTGAAGTCAGGAGCATGGAATTGGTCATTTGGGAATTGGGTGGTAATAGGATGAGTACATTTGTCTGTTTGTCACATAGCACTGTTTTGTGTAGTTCTCTTTGTTTATTTATTTATTTATTTTGTCTTTGGGGGATGAGCCCTGGCCAAATCGTGCCATGTTTTAGGGGAAGAAAACCTCTTTTTGATGGCACATTCCTGCTCTTAAGGTGGTTGTGATATCACCAGCATATGTCATGCTGGCATCTCTGCAAAGGGGCCAGAGGTCTGAATCTTAGGAGAAAAGATACTGTCTAGAGCCAAACCTGGTCTTTTTTTAACAACATATTTTGGCATATCTATGCATATCATTTACATAATCAGATAATTGTGCAATTTTCCTTTGGGGGTAAAACAACCTATAAGTTTTTTAAATAACTACCCCTAATAAAAATGGGATAAATGAAAATTGTATATTAGTGGCATGGGGAGATATTATCAACATGATTGATAATTGATTTTGCATTTAAAAATTCTGTAACATCCATTGTGTTCTGTTCTTTCTTTAGACAAGTTGGCATTAAGAATGGAATGTTTTTTGGGCAAGCTAAGCAGCTTTGTCCTAATCTTCAAGCTGTTCCATATGATTTTCATGCATATAAGGAAGTTGCACGAATGATGTATGAAACGTTGGCAAGGTACTGTGTATATTGTAGTCACTTTTTATATCTGCGTTGTTCTTCCTACACCTTTTTTCTAATATTCAAGACAGGTTTCCTTTATTATTGTCAGGGTCACTCTTGATAAGACTTCTATCTCTTTCTCTTTACTCAGCATCCCAGTACATCAACCTCCTTTTTCTTTTTGCAACTCCAGTAATTGGTAGATCAATCATAAGGGATATTTTTGCATTGGTAAAATTGTTAAACTGTTTCCTGATGGTGATGTAAAATCGTATTCTCTGTCTGTGTAGCATCAGGTCAGTGGTTCTAGTTTTCTTCCAATGGAAGAACAGGTAAAGGATTAGAATTGTTTAACCTGTTTATTTTCTTTTAGTACATTTGAATTATAGCTTCATTTGAAATTAGAACTGATGAGTTAACAAGTAGAATTCATGAAAACCCTTTATCTTCTAAAATTATTAGGTATGCCAAAAGTAAGTTTTTATAAAAGTTAGAATTTAATAAGTTTCAAGGTAGTTGATTAGTTGACTGAGAAAAGGAGATCAATTTAAAATGTATACTTATTGTGGTATACTCAATATTCAAAACTCAAAATTTAATATAGATATAAGCTATGTATGCTCTAAGGCAAGATTCAGCATATTTTGGCTATGAAGGACCAGAGAAAGTCTTTGTCTCAATTTAAACTCTGCTGTGATAATATATTAGTGAATGGATGTCCTGGCAGGGTTCCATTAAGTCTTGATTTAGCAAAACAGGCATCTGAACAGTAGACCAAGGGCAACCCTTGGGTTGGATTGATGTTCTAAGAGATAAGACTTCTTGCCTCTATCTTCACATCTTCCTCTACTTTCTCAAGCATTATTTGAACACCCATTTATCTAGTATCAGCTTTTGTTGTTGCTAGTTTGATAAAGATACAAGCTCTGCTTTTGTGGGAATGGGAGAGAGAAAATTCAGGGTAACAGGGTAACAGTTATAATCACAGCTGTCTTTAAGGCCCCAAATATATGAATGCTGGTGTTTTCCAAATGGAAGGTCTACCTTTTAAAGTCTGTTCCAGAACTCAGGTCTTCTAGTATCATCCAGATAAAATCTGGGGGTGATGGGTAATGAGCCGCTTAGTGGTCCTTTTGTGTTCTGTGTATTGAGACCCTTGAGTTAACTACCAGCCAGAATAACATGAGGGAGAGCCATGACACATACTAGTCCTGATTGAATTTTAGTCTGTGGAGACATTTTCAGCACCATATATGTGGCTTTTCTTTTTGTAGTGGAGGAGGGGAGGGGAGATTGAGTGATATTTGCACCCCCCCCCTTTCCCTCCCACCACTCTGGAAACCATGTCTCAGTGTCATGTAATGCATACCTCAAGGCAAAACTCATTTTGCAGTGGAATTCCTTTCTGCTCTTACAGATTTCATCTTTTATTTGAGTCTAAACAAAACTCTCATTTCTTAAGTGAAAATAGATATTAAATAATCTGATTCATAACTTACAATGAGGTATAAGTGAGAGATGAGGCTTGACCTTCCTTGGATAAGTAACCGAATGGATTACTGAAGATACATTTATGATCCTAGGCCTGTCAGTTGCTTCCCATTCATAGGTCATGTATTCAGTTAACATTGGAGCCCTAGCACCTTTTCCCTAGCCAATTAAAACAAGTCGTTTGTTTAGGTATACAATATAGGATGGCCAAAAACCAAAATTCAAGATATTTCCACTTGTAGGGAATGTAAATGGTGTTCTCCTAGATTGGTCTTGGATGATTGGCCATTATAGCCTCCTATAATATCCTGTGTTTTCTACAGTGAATGATACTTAATTGTATTTAGGAGAGCTGTGATTACTTACTTGATTTGTGTGATTTTTCTGTTGATATTTGTGTGATATTTTCTGGAAAACTGAAAATATTTTAGATTAAATGTTACCACAGTTATAATTCTCCTTTATTTACCAACTATTCAGAGGTTCACAAAGGTTTCCTCTATGTTGAGTAATTGGAGTAATAATTTCTGCTGTATTTCTGGTAGTTAATATGGAAAAAGAGAAAAATACTAACTTTGCAGCTAAAAGATGACTAAAGGCATTTGGGCTGGTTTAATTAAAATATTGAGATTTGTATATTAATGTTTATTAGCATCTTAAGTCTTGTAAGGAAACTTTGAAGAAAGATACCATAGGAAGACTTTTGCAACATTTATAGTCCACTAGATGGCAAGCTGTGGTGGTGATTCATTGCCTTTGCTTGGTGTTGATAGCTATACACATAACATCGAAGCTGTTAGTTGTGATGAAGCACTAGTAGACATCACGGAAATCCTTGCAGAGACCAGACTTACTCCTGATGAATTTGCAAATGCTGTCCGTATGGAAATCAAAGACCAGACTAAATGTGCTGCCTCTGTTGGAATTGGTTTGTATCCAGTATTACTCATTTTACTCAAATCATTGCTTTGGGGTCATTGAATATCCCTTAATTTTTAGGAGTTTTAGATTTGTTTGTTATTGCTTAGGCCTCTTCTAAAGCACTTAGCATTTTTGTAATGCTTGAGTACAAAATGTTGGAAATTTAAGTACATGTTTAATAATATCTTTGGAATAAAAAGTTGAAATATTTATTTGTTCTTCAAAAATGGGAAGAACAGAATTCAGTATTTGTAAACAATATATATTTTTTTTAAAAAGTGAGACGCCATATTTAAAACTGTATGGCAGGGGTGGGTTGTGGTTGGTGGTATAGAGTAATTGTTAAGTAAGTCTTATAATTCAGATCATTTCTGAACTTCTTCCTGGAATGCTCAACCAGCCCTGTGTTTGCTCTCTCAATTCTAAGAAGTCATCCTTCTTAACAGGTGTCCTCAGTGATGATCCTGTCTCTCCCCACTCCTCTGGTATATCTTTAAGCCTTGCACTTTGTTTCCTCAGCTATTCCTACCATTTATTCTTTTGTTAACTCTTCTAGCTGTACCCTCTGGAACACTCTCCATCTTACCTAAGCTTCCTCCTTACTGAACCTACTCAGTACCTTTTACCAAGATACCTCCTCTCTTGCCATTCTGTTAAGTGAAACTGGTTTGTTTCTGCCATACTCTAAGCTACAGACTTGGGAGGTAGAAATAAATCTCCCTGATTTTACCGTTATCACTTCTAACCATTGCTTCTCCATTCTCATTCAGAGCTCTTCTTCCTGCAAAGTTCCCAGTCGTGTGCCTGTGATATTTTTTAGTTTGTGCAAATAACTGATTGACAATAGAGAGGACATTAAAAGAAGAGGCATTTAAAAGAAGATTTTTATTACATGTCTTCAGAAAGAGAGAGGGTATGCCATACCATTCAGGGCCACTCAGGGAAGCACCACATTTTGGTCAGGAAGTAGAAGCAGGAGTGTGGGGAAATCCAAGGCCAACGCTTTTATTGGGGTTTATATGGGAAAGGCCAGACAAAAGAGCTTAGGTTTGGCTACATTGGATAATTCTAGCAGTTGTAGTACTATAAGGGTGGTACCTAACGTGAGGTGATTTAGGGAAGGAGAAGTACTGTCTTGGTGTGTGAGAGTTTGATAAGGATATGCATGGGGTTGACTGGTTCGCATAGGAGAACTGTGCTCCCAAGGAAGTTATTATCTTTAGGAATTAGCTAGCCCAGGAGGGCAGTCTCTCCCAATGCAGCAAGATTTATAAAAGGCCAGACTATCATAAGATACAAAAATAAGATTAATACATTCCCAGCATCCCTCCGGTGACCAGCTTTACCTACCTATTTACTCCCTGATGCCATCTGACAGATCATGTCCAACATTCACTTAGACTGTATTCCAGTATCAGGCCCATGTTAGTTTTTTGTTTGTAATAGTACTTTTAATTTATAAGTGTAATGATAAGTATATTCTTTTGTATTTAAGTTTAAGCACATAAAATGAAAGGCTCACTTGATGTTTCCACAGCTCATTCCCCTTTTCTTTTCCAAAACTCACCACTCTTGTCATTTTGGTGTTAATTTTCCAGAGCTTTTCCTCTTTATGAATCTGTATGTTTTCCCTAGGAAAACATGTTGTAGTCTTTACCTAAGTTCCCATACTTTCTGCAGGTAGTTGTTAATTACATAGCAGCTCACCTAGCATCCTAGTTTCTTAGACCCCTGATACCTTCTTGGTCTCCAGTACCATTTTCCCCTGCTCTACTTTATCCATGTGTAGACCAACACCTTAGATGGACAGATACCTCACTATCAGTATCTGTCTTTGTTTTGAAGACTCATACCATCAGCATTTACTATGCGTATTTTGATCTTAATCGTGAGACTTCTGGTTCTTTGGACTTTCTTGTTTTTCCCAATATGATAACATTCCTTTGACTTTGTTTCACTATCTAGCCTGGATCCATTGAGTCATAAAATAAACTAATTTCTGATCATTGCCCTCAATACTTGTAGTTTCCTTCCCTACCCCTCCCTCCATACTCCCCCACTCCAGCCTTAAGACTCTTTTTTTTTTTTTTTCCTATTCCTTTATCTAGGAAGGAGATGCTGGAATAACATTACTTTGGAACAAACAGAAACTTATGTTCAATAGTCATACTCATTATAATCTGTTAGAATTAACAAACTTCTATCAACTTTTACTGTATTTGAAATGATCAAAATTGCCAATTATTTTCATTTTAGAAATTTGATCGGTAACCTGTATGTAAATGTCTTTGATAACAAATTTAAAAAATAGTGGTGAATATTTCTTGAACAACTTTCTCTTTTAAAACTTTATAGGTTCTAATATTCTCCTGGCTAGAATGGCAACTAGAAAAGCAAAACCAGATGGTCAGTACCACTTAAAACCAGAAGAAGTAGATGATTTTATCAGAGGTCAGCTAGTTACTAATCTACCAGGTAAATGCGTATCTTTGGTTTTTCTTTTTAACTTTATTTATTGTAAACATTTATTAATGGTTTTCATAGTTCCAAAATGTATCTGGTTTTTCCTAAAACATGAATTCAAAAAGTTGTAATCTTCTGTGTGCTGTGAAAAATAAAGTTTGGAATTCCAGTGAATATCCCCTAAATTGATTTGTCAGGATCTTAATGTTACATCTTTGTTTTGCTTCGAGTGTGTTTTACTTTTAAGTATTTCTTAAGAAGCAAGATTAAGGAATCCTAAGAAATTATTTTAAAGGGAATATATGACATTGACTTTTGGTCTTTAAGGAAATAAAATTGAAATAGTGTGCTTGCAGGTCAAGGTAAAGTTTTGAGAATTGATTCTCCTACTTACAAAATTGCCTGTATGACTAATGACAGTTTTTAGAGTTCAGAATGTAAATAGTTTTAACAGTAGAAAATATATGAACCATATTAGGAAGAATAAAACCTAGGTGAAGTATTATATTTTGTCAATTCAGAGGTTGAAGTACAGATTCATCTGTACCTTTTGTTTAAGGAGCAGCATGTATGTTTTATATTTCTCCGTATTTACTATGTGCCTAATTAACCTAGCATAAAAGAAATCTTATCATGGAAAAATTTTCAAATATAATTGAGAAGTGGTTGCCCTTTGGGGACCTTAAATACATGTAATGTTTTTTGTGTATCTAGGACAACTCATTTCACAATTATTAAATATTTAGACCTGCTTTCTGTGGTAGGTAACTCTTAAGAAATTTCTCAAAACCATATAGTACCCCTTGAGACTATTTCAGACTGTCCTCTCCTGTTAGCAGTTGACTTGTTAACATCACTAAGCTTCTGTGTATTTGTGGTGGGCAAAAATCAAGACAGTACATTTAAAGCTGCATGTGAAATTGGAGATTGTTTATTATATATTAGTAGCTCTGCTAGTTTACTAGGGCTGCCATAACATGCCACAGAACAGGAGGCATACAACCACAGAAGCTTATTTTCTCAAGATTCTGATAGTGAGGGGAGAAATCATGTTGTCTAAGAATTAGCAATGATGTAAGAACAAAGTTTTAAAAAAACAACAAAAGAGTCTGGGAGCTAGAAATCCAAGATTGAGTTGTTAGCAAGGTTGGTTTTCTCCTGGGGCTGCTCTTGTTGGCTCGTAGGTGACTCTTTCCCATGTGTCTTCACGTGGTGTTTTCTTCTGTCTTAATTTCCTCTTCTTATTAGGACATAGTTATATTGGATTCTGGCTCCACCCAAATGACTCTGCTTTATTCTTTCAAATCCTTATCTCCAGTTAGTCATATTCTGAGGTGCTAGAAATTAGGATTTTCACAAACATAAGAATTTTGAGGAAACAATTCAGTTCATAATACTATCTTTAAACTGAATCAGTTTTATAGTTGGTTTTTACACAAAAATAGAGAATTTTGAGATCCTTAACTCAGTAATCTTAACTTGTACTTTCATTTACTTCCTGGCTAGAGGAATTTATTTCTTGATGGGCAGTGTAAGGTTACTTGTCCTGATTAGGTTCTTAATAAGCAAGTACTGGAATTTCCCGAGGGATGTCTGAAAGATAGGATTAGCAAGATTGGTTTCTTCCTCATTATAAAAGTAATCTGACATATGCAAGTCAAATTACTGATTTTAAAAGTCCCCAATTTTTTATAAACAGTATTAGGACATTTCAGGTATGGAAAATGTCAGCCTTATCTGTTGTTTTCCCTGTCCTGGAAACAGTGTTGTAAGCCTTCTTTTCTCAAAAGTATGTTCTACTGAATGCAAACTGTTCTTTAAAAAAGGATTGTGGGGGGCCTCCCCTGGTGGCGCAGCAGTTGAGGGCTGGGTTGCGAAGCTGTCCGCAGCCTCTGCAGCGCTGGTTCAATCCCTGCCTGCCGGGCGAGGGTCCCACATGGCGCGCAGACCTCTCCTGCCGCCCGCTGCTCCCCTCAGCAGTGTACTTCGGTCCTTCTGCCTCCTCTGCTCCCTGCTCTGGCTCTGGTGAATTCTCTCACCCTCCTGCACTTCTGACTGTACCCAGTGCTTGTATAAATAAATATATCTCTAAAAAAAGAAAAAAGAAAAATAAATAAATAAAAACTTAAAAAAAAAAAAAGGATTGTGGGAACCTCTGTGGCAAAAGGCTCACATAATAAAAATTCTGAAAATTCTTCCTATAAAGAAATCTTTTTATCTTTGTTAAAAACTAGTAATTTCCCAAAGATATATGATGAATGTAAAGTATCCGTTAACATCTTGTATAACCTACTTTGAGGGAAGTTTGCTCTTCAATAACCAGAAGAAATTCAGTGATAACACATCTCACCCCTTACCTTCCAGAAGCTTTTTGGCCCTCTGTGCTCATGTTTACTGAGCACACATAGTGTGCCTAACACAGTAATAGGCAGTTATTGTAGCTACATCAGTGGGAAAAATAAACCATTATGTTTATGTTTTAGGGGACTCCTCAGAATAATGTTTATGTTATACTAGCGAATTTTCTAATGAGATAAAGAATTAGCCTCAACAACTATTTTTGTTAAAGATTTATTTATTTATGCATACAAGAACTGGGGTACAGGCCAGAGGTGTGGGGGGTGAGAGGATTCACCAGAGACAGAGTGGGGAACAGAACAGGCAGATTGAAATACACTGCTAAGGGGAGCAGTGGGCGAGACAGGAGAGGTCTGCCATGCCATGTGGGTTGCGCCCCAGCCAGTGATCGAACTCCTGCTACAGTGGCTGCAGATCGCTTCATAGGTTGTGTCTTAACCCCTTGCGCCACCAGGGAGGCCCTCAACAACTATTTAAATACAATAGTATTTCCTTGTGTACTTTGGATCTCTGCAATACTTTTTTGCCCTGTATATAGTCTTCCCAGTGTGAGGACCTTTTGCACTTTGTATGACCTATGCTGGTTTTATGCTTCCAGTCTGGTTTTCATCTTCTTCCATTCCCAGAGAAATACAATGATAAGTGTAGATGTTCATAAAGATTTGCGCTTTCCTGATATGGTAGGCGCTAACCAAGTGAAGCTAGTGAAATTTAAAGTTAAATTAATTGAAGTTAAATAAAATTCAGTGCCTCGGTTGTACTAATTTTCAAGTCTGTCAGGTTCTGTTTGCCAGAAAGGGGACATTACTGGCCATTTTTATTCTATGACAACACGTCCCCTTCTAAGAAAATGACAGTTTTTGCTCCAGTTGTTTGACCAGGGGCTTCCCGATCTTTGTTTTTCTTCTCACTTGGTTCTAAACTAGCATATTTTCCTTTACTGTTTCCTTCCCATGTGGCTACATTCAATTTGGTCAAGACCCTGCTACTTTCTTCTTAGAGGTACCTCCTTTCCTGATGGACACTTAACTTGAAGCCACCAATTAGCCTAGGACCCCTCTCTGGCTTTTGGTGCTGATTCCGGTAGTCATTTTCCACCCCATTCAGTGTAATAGGGTTAGAGATTGACTACGCCACATGCCTTCCTGCCTCATTTCACTTCAGGCCATTGTATTTCATTAGATGAACTTGCAGTGGAGGGAATCTTCCCAAGGGTGGTACCTCAGTTAGCCTAGGTTGAGTATGATGAATTTGGTGATGTTTAAGATAAGTCTTTCATTTGCACCTATTACTTGAATGATTATACTGTTCCATTATACTCTGAAAAGTATACTTCTCAGATAGTTGGTAAACTTTAAGTAATCTGAAAGTGTTTAAAGGTACTCTGAAAAGCTAGGATTTACATCCCCCAGCCCACCCCCAGTTGTGCAAGGGACAGATCATGGTCACCTTTCATTGGTAGGAAGCTGGGCAGTGAAGGAAGGAAAATAAATATTTAAAAATCCTTTCTGTTAAAGTGTCAACCTAGTATATGATTAGTTTATTCCCTTGGGTTTCTCTTCCCTATCTTGAAAAATAGTCAGCTAGGTTTCACTTAGAATGTTACCTTTTTGTGAATGCTTTTCCTGTGGAGGATTTTTTGTTATTAGCATAGACACTCATATTCTTGTCCTTTGTTCTGACTCAAACTATAAAATGGCCTAAATAGGAAGTAGTACCCTTTTCACCTTCATCTGATTTCCATTTGGGAGACATTTTTCTTGGGTTAAATGTATCTCATCTACCTCTAGAACCGTAGATGTTTTGTCGTACATATCTACTTCAAGTGGTTGTCTTGGCAGAGGTGGACTAGACTGGTTGTTCCTTCTACTGAAGACCACTCAAAAAAGGCAGAACTAACAGTAACAGTGATGAACAGAAAATTACAGACTTCACTCTGATCTCTGTAAGACCCCACAGCAGACCAGAAAAGGTCTTTTCCTCACTGATTGAAAATATTTATTTGGTGATGTGGAGACCATTTTAATAAGAATTTTGATGTCCCTAGCTATGTAAAGCTTTGCTAAGCTTTTGAGCAAATTGAGAGCAACAGAACTCAACAACTTGCTATGGGTGAAGCTTATACCTTGCGTGTTGAAGCATATGACATAAGGATTTCAACATTGCAGCCCAGCTATGGAATAGTTAAAATCTTTCTAGGGAAGATCGTCTTTGTTGATAAAAGAAATCTTTGTCTTTCCCCCCACTGCCACTTTGTTTGCTTAGGAACCTTATACCCACTGAGGTCAATGGTATTGTTTTGTCAATAACATTTTGGGGTTTGAGCCTTTGTCCTAAGTTTGTGTTCTAGTTCCATTCAGAGAAAATGTGAATAGGGGACTCCCTGGTGGCCCAAGGGGTTAAGTACAGCACTATGAAGCAGTCTGCAGCCACTGCAGCACCAGTTTGATCCGGTGGCTGGACAGGGAGCTACCCATATGGCACAGCAGACCTCTCCGGACTCACCTGCTGCTCCCCTCAGCAGTGTATTTCAGTAGATCTGCCTGTTCTGTTCCTCACTCTGTCTCTGGTGAATCCTCTCCCCGCCTCCCCCACACACAAACCTCCCCCCCACACACACCTCTAGCTTGTACCCCAGTTCTTATATGCATAAATAAATTTTTTAAAAAGACCCTTAAAAAATGTGAATAAAACTATTCTGAAATTTTCTTCTTCAGCAAAATTATAGTAGTGACCTAGACATTCTCTGAGTGTCCTAATAGGTCTGTAAGTCCTAATAGGTCTGTAAACTCATTTATACAAGTCTATTACTTAGCTGAGTTTGGGAATAAGATAGAAATCTTGATATTACTCAGTAATAAAGCCCACAATTTTTGTGATACATATTTGATAAGTTCTGTATACCTAGATGTGGAATCCAAATTGAGAAGTACATTCTAGCAATAATCCTACTAAGAGTTCACATTTAAAAATTTTTAAATTGCTTCTCAGCCTTTTGGCTAATAAGATCAAGTGTAAAAATTTTTTAAGATGCTTCAGTTTTGTCACTTTAAAATTTTAATGGAGATTAAATTAGTTGTTTTCTGCATGAGTGATAGTTATTTCATATTGCTGAATTGCTTTTAATAGTTTGTCTGTAACTTCTAGGAGTTGGACGTTCAATGGAATCCAAACTGACATCTTTGGGAATTAGAACTTGTGGAGACTTGCAATATATGACCATGGCAAAACTCCAAAGAGAATTTGGTCCCAAAACAGGTCAGATGCTTTATAGGTTCTGCCGTGGTTTGGATGATAGACCAGTTCGAACTGAAAAAGAAAGAAAATCTGTTTCAGCTGAAATCAACTATGGAATAAGGTTTACACAGGTACTGATAACAGGTTTTACTTCATTCTTCATACTTCCACTTAGTCTATCTTTCCAACTAGACCATACACTCTTGAATTAAGTCTTCAAACTGTTGTTAGTTCCATAATTTGCACAAGGTTTGTTTTTAATAGATGGTTAGCTAGCAGGGAAGTAAATGATTTAATCTTGAAAGTTAAAATGCTTGAGAAAAATAAGCATGTAGAAATAACATGGAAGTTTTTCTGTTTGTCTCTCTGTAGTCAAAAGAGGCAGAAGCTTTTCTTCTGAATCTTTCAGAAGAAATCCAACGACGGCTTGAAGCTGCTGGCATGAAGGGTAAACGCTTAACTCTCAAAATCATGGTACGAAAGCCAGGGGCTCCTGTAGAAACTGCAAAATTTGGAGGTCATGGAATTTGTGATAACATTGCCAGGTAAGCTGACCTTAAAGAGGATGTTAGATATCAATGTTTCAGTGTAGGTTATTAATAGAAACTGAAGGAGACCAGGGAATAATTTGAATTAAGATATGTAACTCTGGGGTTATTTGAGTCTGTGGTGCTAGCCTAAGCCCCAGGCCATTTGAATTCAGTCAGACAAGCAGGTGTGTAGCTGTAGGTCAATCTGGCAGTGTGCTCCCCACCTTGGCAACCTTTCCTTGGACTTGTCAGGCTGCTGACTTGAGTGATGAACAGAAAGACCCGTGCCCCAAAGGTAACTATGGACTTGATGAAAGGGTCCCTGAGGGAAATTTCAGTACAGTAATTAAGAAAGAGATTTTAATGACACAGTTGCTTCAGTTAAGTAGGTATAATTTCTATTGTGAAAATTTAAATCTTCATAGTCTGTGACAACAGAAAACATTTTAAGACCCTTTTTTTATGTAAGGGCCACTAATTAAAACTTCATCTAAGATTTATGACTAATATGAAAAGTCTTAATTTAGTATGCCATTTTACGTTATTACATGGTACAATGCATTTAATTTATCTGTCAATCAGCCGGTGTTCTGAGGTATTTTTTCTACCCTAAAACCACATGAGAGGAATTCTAAAATCAAGTTTAAGGATTAGGTCATGGCAGCCACACACATTACTACATCTATGTATAGATAGTGCTATTGTTGTGAGTGCTAGGAAAAACTTCCCGTTTTATAATTAATATATTTGTTCACCATGAAAACAGGGATAATAAATTACACATTAAACATAATTTATAAAATATTTTTATGTAGTTGATAATTTTGAATATTTACCTGTTTTTTAATAAGCCTTAATTTTACCTATATCAACTAAATGGTAGTTAAATATTGTGTTATGGTCACTTCTTAAGGCCCTTGCTCAGAAATATAGTTATCTTTTTAAACATGATTTCTGTATGAAAATGGAATCCAATTTCTAAGACCTTTCTGTTTAAGGCCTAGAATTTTATTTGTTCAAGATGTATGGAAGGAATTGTCCAAAAATAATTTTTCTTTGGAAAGAGAACTGGTTAGTGGGCCTCCCTGGTGGCGCAGTGGTTGAGCACTGGGTTGCGAAGCTGCCCACAGCCTCTGCAGTGCCGGTTCAATCCCCGGCTGCTCCCCGGCCACCGGAGGAGGGTCCCGCATAGCGCGCAGACCTCTTCTACTGCCCGCTGCTCCCCTCAGCAGTGTACTTCGGTCCTTCTGCCTGCTCTGCTCCCCGCTCTGACTCTGGTGAATTCTCTCACCCTCCTGCACTTCTGACTGTACCCAGTGCTTGTATAAATGAATGAATGAATGAATCAATCAATCAATCAATCAATCAATCTTTTAAAAAAAAGAGAACTGGTGGCAATTTTCTCTGCCATGTATGCATTTTGAACTTACAGCTACTCAGCATTGTATGTTTTGTTTCATGTAGTGGTATCTAGGCACTCACTTTGTCTAATCTTAATTTTAAAAATTAGCCTTCATTTAATCTTTCTTAGGAAACACAGGCATTCTGAAAACCCAGTTACAATATTTAAAAATCGGGATAAATTATATTTTAACTTACCCCAATTCAAGGATAATACTCAGTTTTTGCTGATAAGCATTTATCTACTTGCTAGTGTTGGTATTTGTTCCTTTTTTATGCTAATTAAAAGAAAAGGTTTCATTATCAACATTTAAATATATACAAAAATACAAAAGGAATAGTATAGTGAACTCCCAGTGTCCCCATCACCTGATAGAATTGTCACCTGATTTTAACACTCAGCTCCCCTGGCACCATTCTTCCTTTTCTTCTCCCAGTTATTCTGTAGCAGATCTCAGGTACCATATCATTTCTTCCACAAATATTTTTTTTTAAAAGATTGATTGATTGATTGATTGATTGAATTATACAAGCACTGGGTACAGTCAGAAGCGCGGGAGGGTGAGAGAATTCACCAGAGCCAGAGCGGGGAGCAGAGCAGGCAGAGGGACCGAAGTACACTGCTGAGGGGAGCAGCGGGTGGCAGGAGAGGTCTGCGCGCCATGTGGGACCCTCCTCCGGTGGCTGGGGAGCAGCCGGGGATCGAACCGGCGCTGCAGAGGCTGCGTGCAGCTTCACAACCCGGCGCTCAACCGCTGCGCTACCGGGGAGGCCCACTTCCACAAATATTTTGGTTTTTATATCAAACAAGAATTCGTTGTTTAGTAAACATAGTAATTCAAAACTCTGCTGCTTATTGCTGGTAGGTAAGTGTATTTTGCCGTGTCGTTAAATTAATAATTTTGGATGAGACATGATGATGCAGAAAGAGCACATGGTTTATTGAAATAAGTGTAATTTTGTGTTTCCAAGATATAAATCAACTGTAAGGCATAAATTTAAGCCCTAACATTTTGGTGTACGGGATTGTTAACAATACTGACAGTATTTCCTGTGAGACAAATCTAGGCTGTGTCCCTCCTCCCCCCCATCACCCCTTAATGACTTAAAGTGAGCAGTGGATAATCTTTATATAAAAGGTTGTGAGAAAAAATGAAGACTGCATGAAAGAGATCACAAAACACAAGCTTATTTACTGTATGACTTTTTTTTAAATCTTTTTTTTTTTTTACGATTTATTTATTTATACAAGCACTGGGTAAAGTCAGAAGCGCAGGAGGGTGAGAGAATTCACCAGAGACAGTGCGGGGAATAGAACAGGCAGACTGACGAAATACACTGCTGAGGGGAGCAGCGGGCGGCAGGAGAGGTCTGCGCACCATGTGGGACCCTCGCTGGTGGCCGGGGATCGAACCGGCGCTGCAGAGGCTACAGGCAGCTCCGCAGCCCAGCGCTCAACCGCTGCGCCACCTGGGAGGCCCTACTGAATGACCTTTGACAGTAAAAGTTTGTGGCTCCCTGCTGTAGTTTAATGCCGCGTTGAGTAAATTGAGACGTGGTACGCCACATTCCATAATTCTGTAATCCGTAATTGTCCTTAATTGGATGTTGCATTGCAATCATGTGACTCAGATTCTCACATTGTAATACTGTAATAAAAATATGATTTTGAAGTTGCATGCCTAAGAGCCACCTGTAGATTCAGATCTGTGACTTTGTTATTACCTAGGAAACTTTTTCATAGAAATTTTCCTTTTGGGGAAAATACTTTCCCCTTGAAGTTCCTCTGTGCATATGCATTTTTAACATATATGTGCTTTCAGTTCCTTGCACTGTTCCTCCCCAACTCAAGTGCCATCCTTTTCAACATTTTAGTTTCTTCTGATATTTAAATCCTTATTTTTCACTGCCATTTCTAGATTTCAGCTTTGCAGAATATTCACTGACTTTGTACTATAAAAGAGAGTGTTTCCCCTCTCTCTTCCATCATCTGTTGCTTTCTTCTCCTGTATGTGTATTTCCTTTGTCCTCAAGAGTCTTCAGTTTTGGGTTCAGTCACTAACTGTTCTATTATTGTGTTATGTACATACTTTACATAGGAGGTCCCTGTTGTCCACTGTGATCACATTTCCTTTGCTGTTGAATTATTTTTTTCTGGAGTTAACTATATTTTGTTTGCTTTGCAAATTTGCACTGAGTTTACCACCAAACCTGCTATAATAGTGCATTTGAATACATCAGCAATCTACTGGTTTCATCTCTTTCTTGGAGATTTCTTTCTTGTGAACCTCAGCCTTCTCCCATCAGGGTTAGTTTTAAGATATACTGCAAAATTGGAATCCTGGGATATCACGTCTCTATAATCTGTGTTAGATCTCTTGATTTCCAGAATCTTGATTCTCCTTTAATCTCATCTTGGTTACTGAAGTCCGTCTTCTCATCTTTTACTGTCTTACTGAGAAAGAATACATAAGTGGAAGTTTTTTTGAACCTCCCCTCAATAGTTTTGCTTTCTCTTAAAGATTATATAACTTGGAGTTGGAAATCATTTTCTGAACCTCAAACTTTTGAAGACTCCATAGTTATCTTTTTTTCCCCAGGATTAATATTAAGATTGTCTATTTTAAAGGACATTTGCTCTTTCTCACTGGAGTTTTCCAGGATCTTCTCTGGGGTTCTGGAATTTGTCTTTTTGCCTCCATACTTAGCCAGTACTAAAATTTTTATTTCTAACACTTCAAAACTCTGTTTTAAATACCTTATTTCACAGATGCAGTATTGTCTCTTAAAGATTCTTGTCCCATTATCAGTCTGTCATGAGTTCTCTTTCCCGTTTCTGTTGCTGTCTTTTATATTAAAGATTTTCTTCAGGTATCTGTTCAGGTGTTCTTGACTGACTGCTCAAGTGATTTGCTAAAATGTTTGGAACCTCAGGACTTTTAGTGGGATGGATAGAACAGTGGGCTTCACTATATAGGTGAGTGGTTGGAGGGACCTGATCTTTGGTTGCCACAACCAAGTGTTAGTATCTGTAGTCTTCCAGTATGCTTGTCGGTTTTCCAGAATGAAACCCTCCAGTTTCCTACCTAGGGGGATGTAAAGATGGCAGCTCAAATCCTGGATACTCAGAAGAGGCAGTGTGGGTGAGAAAGGGTGTGTTTCTTCTGAGTGTGGTGCCTCACTTCACTTAACTGTCTGTGACATTCCTTAGCTTCTCTGTTGTTCCCATATGTAATAAGACTTCAGCAAAGGAGGGAGGAAATCTCTGAGAATTTACTTCTCGCTTATATTTTTAGTCTTGTTCTCTCCCCCTGCCTCCATACATATCTGACAGCTCTAATACTGAGCTTTTCTTAATGGGGCTACTACCGCAAGTCAATGCCTTGCTTCAGGCATTAAGTAGGTATTTGGTGACTTACCATTTATCAGTTTGCTTTTCATTATTTTAAATTATGATTAACATTTTCCCCCTACTTTTGTCTCCCCTCCCATTTTTGAGTCATACCTTATAAAAATGATTTTTCATTGGTGTAGTGGTGATTCAGAAAAAAGTGAAGATAAATACATGTGTTTAAAATGGTCCACTAAAAGATTTGCTTTTAAGTTAATCTGTATTTATCTGTGGAAAAAACATAAGGTAATTATAAGGTAACAAATCAATGGAAACATTTTGTAAATGGTTTCCTGCAAGAAATGAGTCCTTTCCTTGGATGTGAAAATATAAAATCCTCATGATATTGAAAAAAATAACAAATATAGATTGGGGCACCTAATAATGCTGGCAGGTTCTCTGTCCTTCAAGATTTCTTGAAGATCTAAGGATCATATATTCTACTAGTCTCTGGGTTATATACAAGGAACAGCCATATTCCCTGTCATACATAACCCTTTACGCGTTGTTTTATACATTTCTGGCTTTACTTCACATGTAAGTAGAGTCAAGAACCAAAACACAAAGGAATTAATCATTTCTATCTTGCAACCTAAAACTTGCCTTAGGAGCTGACACATTGCACTTCAATTCATGTTAGTTGGCAGTGTAATTAATGCTCGTATTTTTGCATGGCTTAACTAAAATAACTAAGAAATATTCTAACCCATTTTTAGTGGCTAGGTCTCTCGATTGGTTTTTATCTTTTTTTTAAAGGGTTTTATTTTATGTAAGAACTGATGTGTAGGCCAGAAGTGTAGGGGGTGAGAAGATTCACCAGAGATACAGTGGGGAGTAGAACAGGCAGATCTTCTGAAATATACTGCCGAGGGGGGCAGTGGGCAAGACAGGAGAGTTCTCCTGTGCCCTATGTGGGTAAGCTCCCTGGCTGGAGACTTAACCCCTAAGCCACCAGGGAGGCGCCCTAGTTTTGAATCTTAAAGTCCCAATTATATATGATTTCTCCCTCACCCCCCACGACTGTCAGTGTAATAATTACTGGCTACCCAGAAGGATGACTGTCTCATGCATCTTAATATTTAATACTGAATTAAATTTTTTGTAAAGTTCATAACTTTTCTCAACTCTTTAAACAGTTCCATACTGAAGTGTACTGGAGAATACATATGGAATGTAACTTCTGTTCCTTACAGGACTGTAACTCTTGATCAGGCAACAGATAGTGCAAAAATCATTGGAAAAGCCACACTAAACATGTTTCATACAATGAAGCTAAATATATCGGATATGAGAGGGGTAAGTGTGCGACATTCTACATTCTACACTTTCTGTGACATTTTTCTCATTTAAGGCTTTATCTGAGAATGTTAATAGAGGGTAGTGAGGAGTTCAGTATAGGTTTTCAGCACCTTTGATACAGACTAGAAACTGAAAAACTCTGCTTTCTCATCTGACCTGATCTTTTTTTTTTCCTGAAAGCTCTATTTTTTTTTATTTACCTAAAATAATCTTGTATCTTGAATTTTATAGTAATTGTGTTTTAACCAAATACTGATCTTTCGTGTGTAGTCTTCCTTCCTGTTCCTCTGAAAATAGATGGGATCATTAGTGTGAACCTGCAAATAAGTCTTACACCTTTAATATCCTTCTTCATCAGAAATTTATTCTGATGTCTGATGATGAGCAAAAGCACATGAAGATGCCTTTGAAAAAGGCAAGAGGGCATCAAAAATTTAAAACCCTTCGTTTTCTTTCCTAAAGATTAACCTTTTAGGTTTGGTTGTATGTGTATACACATATGTGAGTAAATAGAGATAATGATTTGGTCAGAGGGATTAAAAATTTATTACTAAGCCAGCCTTGATGAAAATTTCTCCTTAAAATACTGTTACAAGGTTTCGTAGTGGTGTAGGGGAGTAGTCATATGTACAGATACCTGCAGTTACCCACTGCCCTGCCTTACTCACCATCCCTTATTTGAAAAATACTTCATTTAAAAAAAGTTACATGTAGGTTGCCAATCTGTCCCTACTTAAAAAATTTTTTAAATCTTGCTCTAAAAACCTTAGTTCTGAGCTTCAGTAGGATGTACTTTTTTTTTGATTTTCCGATTTTGAAGAGATTACAGTATATATGGGTACAGTTGAATATTTAAGATTGAGGTGAAAAACTTGCTCACCAGCTAGGATGGAAGTAGTTTTTGTAATCATAGAAAGCTACTTGAGTACTTCCATGTAAAAAAAAAAAAAAAAAAAAAACACCTTTTATTCTAAAAACAGGATCTAAAAATAGTAAAGTTTGATTAACTGGGAATTTTTCTAGTTTGGATTCATATCTTTACCTTCTACTTTTTCTAGAAACATTCTTTTTTCTGGTTCTAGGTTGGGATTCAAGTGAATCAACTGGTTCCAACTAATTCCAATACTTCCGCCTGTCCCACTCGCCCATCAGTTCAGTCAAGCCACTTTTCTGCTGGATCACACTCTGTCCTTGATCTATTCCAAGTTCAAAAAGCTAAGAAATCCACAGAAGAGGAACACAAAGAAGGTCAGTTTTGTTCAGCAGTGTTTCTCATTTTGGTCCTGCTGATATCCTTAGGAAGGCAATAGCTCTCTAACAAAAAATTGTTCTGAATTATGAATCAAAATTTTACTTGCTATGGATTAGTCCATACCATTCCCCAAGATCTAAAGACTTGTTTTTCTATACTTTTCAGTGTTTCTAGCAGCTATGGACCTAGAAATATCATCTGCTTCTAGAACTTGCACTTTCTTGCCATCTTTTTCTACACATCTGACATCAAGTATCAGTCCTGTTACTAGCAAAGCCACTGAGTCTTCAGGGAAATGGAATGGTCTGCATCCTCCCATCAGTTTAAAATCAAGACTTAACCTGAGTATAGAGGTCCCATCACCTTCCCAGGTATATTTTTATAGTTCTAAGTATGACGTAAGTGCAAAAGTGGTCATACAATAGGAATGACTTATGAATTCCTTTATCAGTATAGCCAAGAAAGGGACACTTCTGCTGTTGAACACCAAGTGGGAAATTTCTGATTTTGGCAGGTTGAGAGATACCAGTGAAAGCCAGTTCTCTGTACTCAGTCAGCAGCCACTTTACCACCTCTTAATAGTGGTAATCACGTCCACTGAGCTCTCTAGTCAGCAGTGCAGCCTTGCTGATCATTAGTAGAGGTGCCAAAGGTTTTTCTTGCAATATTTGCAACCTGAATGATTTTCCTGACATAATTCAGTTGGTATGGACTGTAAATGTGGCATATTGCTGGGATTGAGTTTTCAGCTCAATTGGAGAAGTCAGTTTGTGTCCATTACTCCCCTCAAGTGGTAGGATGCTGACTGAGGGAGATACATACGGACTGATAATAGGGAAAGAGGCAATTTTGAGGCATATTTGAGTCCTAGTTTCTGATGAGTTACCCAAAAATAGTTGATCCTGGCAAGATGAGATTGGAAACAATCCCATAATAGAATAGCCTGATGAGATGGGCAGAGGGAGGGCCTGGCCAAAAACAAAAATCCCAGGAGATTCTGGTTTGTAGGCTGGAAAGAAGAAACTTCTGACACAGGGCTTTTACCCAGTCCCAAAATTCGACATGCCATAGGCTTAGATCCCACTAAGATTTGAGCTTGACTAAGGCGCTACCTATAGTCTTCCAGTCCACGAAATTCAGAGTATAATTTGTACTTAGTGTTTCTCTGGAACTGGCTGCTGACATCTCCAAATTCCATGCCTTGCTACTCAGGTTTAAATGGCAAAAGGCCAAACTGCTGGTTTAAAATGAGAGATGGTTTTCCTGGCTTGGTATCTACCCCTTGTTTCATTACCAAAGATGTTCAAACAGAAATTAAAGTTGTATTAACTCTTCCAACATCTTCTCTGAACATGCTTTAACTTTAGACTCTTGTATGTATGGTATTTTACAGCTTGATCAGTCTGTTTTAGAAGCACTTCCACCAGACCTCCGGGAACAAGTAGAGCAGGCTTGTGCTGGGCAGCAAGGAGAACCACATGGTGACAAAAAGAACGAACCAATAAATGGCTGTAGTGCAGGAATTTTGCCACAACCAGTTGGGACAGTTTTGTTGCAAATACCAGAACCTCAAGAATCTAACAGTGACACAGGAATTAATGTAATAGCCCTTCCAGCATTTTCACAGGCAAGTTAAATTTAGGGACCTTCCAGTTAAAATAGTCTCACCCATCATACTCCAGACATACCTCAGTTCCCTTTTCCTCTTGTACCCTCAACTCTCATTTCATGGGGGGGAAGAGGTAGATTAGCCTATCCCTACACCATCTGCAGCAGGACATAGACTAAAAGACCAGCCTCTTGAGGCAACTGAGTAGAACAATGGGGGAATGAAGGAGGAGGCTATATAGTATGTGGGTGCTTCCACCCACAATACAACCTGCTGCTATGCCATTGGTCAGAGCAGATGTTTGGGCCACTTTGCAGTAACACAATCAAAGCTTAAAAAAAAAAAAAAAAATTACACATCAGCCTGTTTTGCTTCTCAGTTTTAACTAGTGTTTCTTACCTTCATTGTTCTGTAAGGGAAGAGTCAGTTTACTCTTAAATGTTATTTCTTTCTACCTTAAAATCTTGAGAATTAATGAGTTTTGATTTGAGGGACTAGATCCAAAAAGTGATTTGAGAACAATAAATTTTGTGAAAAATAAGACTGGGCTGTCAAAACTCTTGTTGGACTTTGAACCTTTTTTCTACTAGGTGGATCCTGAGGTGTTTGCTGCCCTTCCTGCTGAGCTTCAAAAAGAACTCAAAGCAGCTTATGATCAAAGACAAAGGCAGGGAGAGACCACCACTCATCAGCAGTCAGCAAGTGCATCTGGTAAGCCTTAGAAGTGACATGTAATAGTGAAGATGAGAAATGAAATCATTGTTCCATTGTAGTATAAAATGGGCACAGTCTAGGCTGTTGGTCACAGTAAGAGCTCTTTGTTTTGTGGGAACAGAACGAGTATACAATTCAGGTAAGTGTTGTCATAGTTCCCATTGTAGCTGTATCTTGACTTAGAAACACCATTCTTTAAAAAAAAAAAAAGTACGACTAAGCCTATATCCTTTAGGGTTCTGAACATGCATTACAAACACATTTACTGTGTAGATAGTTCAGATCCTTGTGAGCACCACATTATAGAGAAGCAGCATTCCCAAGAATCAGGTTAGCATTGCAGAGATGCTTGGAACTTTAGAACCTGTACTATCACACGCTGTCACTAAGACAGCCACCCAGTCTCGGCAGGGGGCGGAGGAGGAATGTCTTTGGGTAGCACAGGTTTTTTCCCCTCCCCAGACATGTGCTTAAAATCTTCTGTCCACCCTTTTAGTGCCAAAGAATTCATTACTTCAGCTTAAACCACCAGCGGTGAAAGAAAAGAAACGAAACAAGAAGAAAAATCCCATCAGTCCTCAAAAAAAGACTCAGAGTCCTTTGAAAAACAAGCTGCTTAATAGTCCTGCGAAAACTTTGCCAGGGGCCTGTGGGAGTCCCCAGAAGCTAATTGATGGGTTTCTGAGACACGACGGTCCTATTTACGGTCCTATTTCTGAGAAACCTCTGGTAATATACTTCATACTTTAAAATACTGACCTGTTATCAGTATATTTAACGTTGTTAAATATAGCACATTTTAATTTTTTTTTTTTTCTTAACAGGGAGAACACTGTGCTTCCACTTCAGAGGTACCAAATCTTTCTGGTTTGCAGCCTGATTTGTCTGGCTCTGCTAAACCCCAAGCACCCAACTTAGCTGGAGCTGTGGAGTTCAGTGATGTGAAGACCTTGCTCAAAGAATGGATAACTACTATTTCAGGTTGGCTTGGCTGGTATAGATAGCCTTAGAGATGTAATGGCCCCGTGATTTGAAAACATGAACATTCAAGTATGGAAAATCACTTTCCAATAAGCTTACACCATCTAAATCCTACGTAACCTTTTGAATGCCGGATTTGGCTTTGAAAAGCTCCTTATTGCAGCCCATTCATTTGATAGTTGCAAATCAGTAGTATAATTGTCCTTCAAGAAGATACATCGATCTTCATTTGAAGTTTTTCCCCTTTCCTAGATCCAATGGAAGAAGACATTCTACAAGTTGTGAAGTACTGTACTGACCTAATAGAGGAAAAAGATTTGGAAAAGCTGGATCTAGTTATAAAATACATGAAAAGGTAACTTGCCAAAGGGGAAAAATGACATTGCAAATTCAAGGAGGCAAGGCACTGAGCAAATTTTATACTTTCTGGCAATACACTGTGTAATTACCCTTTATTTTGAATCCTGGAGAAACATGAACTGGGTAGTAAATAGTGCTGTTCCCCTTAGATGGTTTAAAACCGTGGTGTTCTGAAATTAGTCTTTCCTCATATTTCTCTTCCTTTCCCACCTTTAGGTTGATGCAGCAGTCGGTGGAATCAGTTTGGAATATGGCATTTGACTTTATTCTTGACAATGTTCAGGTGGTTTTACAACAAACTTATGGAAGCACATTAAAAGTCACATAAATATTACCAGGGAGCCTGGTGCTCTCTGCTAGCTGTGCCATAAGTGCTTGTGAGGTATTTGCAAAGTGCATGATAGTAATGCTGAGTTTTATAATTTTAAGCAAGTGTTTTTGTACATTTCTTTTCAATAAGTGCCAAATTTGTCAGTATTGCATGTAAATAATTGTGTTAATTCTTTTACTGTAGTATAGTTTCTATTTACAAAATGTTTGTTTATAAAGTTTTATGGATTTTTACAGTGAAGTGTTTACAGTTGTTTAATAAAGAACTGTATGTATATTTTGTACAGGGTCTTTTTTTTGTGAATCTTTCAAAACTTTAGAACCAAATCCTGAACTATTTATATTATACTTACTGTTACAGGCTCCATGCTGAGCTCTGAATTCCTGAGAGGTCCCAGTCTGGGATTCTACTTGTTCTAAGTAATCTCATCCCCAAGCATGAACACAGGAACATGTTGAGAAAATCTTCTTTACTTCTTCCAAATGGAGGAAATTTACATATTTGAATTAGAATACACACACAATTGAAGTCTTTCCTCAAAGAAGTGCTCTCTTTGCCTCTACTGGCCCTTGAGAAACTTTAATGTATATTTTTCTATACTATTTTATCCCCTAATACTTTATAATTCTATGCCAGTGAATACTTGGGAACATTTTCCTCAAATACCCCACACTGACTTTAATACTGTGCTATATAAATAGTCAGGTATTAGAGATCTGTTATAAGAATATTAACGCTAATGGATTTCTTACCTTGGGGGAAGGAGTTTATATGCTCATGTGGATCCACTTACCACATCCTTCAGAAAAATCATAAAACTACAGATTATTACAAATAAATCATTGTGATGTCTCCACAACTTCTAAGCCCAAATTATTCACTGCTGATTGTCTCATCAGAAAATGTGTGCATGATAGGATATCTAGGACAAAATAGACCAGTATATTAAAAACCCCTAGTGTTGTTAACATGTTCTAGTCCACAAGGTATGGATAATAAAATAGTTCTTGTCCTTTACAAGAGCTAAACCAAGGATGGTGAGTCATGAGTGAGAAGCTATTCTACCATGGAGGCCTAACAGAGCTGACTGGTGAATGTCTGTTTTTATTGGTAGTTAAGAATTGTGCTGATTACAGTGGACTCTCATGACTACACAAGCAGTAAATAGCCAGCTATGCTTTACACCATGGTTTCACACAAAGCAGATAAATATATCAGAATGCCTAATTTTCTACTTTTAAAAATTCCTAAGGGCATATGGCAGAATGCCCCACCCCCCACAAAAAAAAAAAATTTCACTGTGAGAAAGATATGCATAAATAAAGAAGTTACTTCTTACATCAAAAAAGTCCCAAGAATCACAAAATCTGCAGAAGCTTGGTTAATCAAATACTGCAGTACTGATTTAATCAGTATAAAATTGAAAGAACTTTAGATCTGTAATAAAAATCCAAATTTGGGGAAGGGCAAACTTTAAAACAGCAGCCAGTAGAGAAGGGTGGGGATAGGAGTTGGGTGAGTGAACAGGCACGTTGGAACTGTGGGGACATGTAATCGACCACTGTCAAACCAGTGTAAGTTTCTTGGTTTCTCATGGAAAACATTTATACACCTATTTTTTTCCTTCCATACTTAAGTTCATCAGTGTCCAGATACATCCATTCCATTTTGTCTTGTTTTTGTTGGTGATAACACAATATTGCAGTTACTCCATTTCCTGCTGCAGGTGGAAAAATTAGATGATTTCAAATACTTTCTTCAGCTCCACAATAAGCTGCCAGTCACTCTTCTGCATTTCATCTCTAAACCAGTCTTTGAGGGCATCAATGGACTGCCGACTGATCTGCAGGAAGCACGAACAGTAAACAATGTATCAAGTGCCAAAGAAAAAGCATGTGGCCCTTTTAGTCTGTTCACCAGATACTTATCCCCTCAGAGAAAACTTAGGTAGATTAATAACCTGCCTGCCATTTTGGGAAGCAGAATAATCAACACTCTATTAAGGGAGACAAGACTATCCTCCACATTAAATCCTAACCAAAAAAACAAGACCCATTTGATTCCTGAAGTTCTAACTGCAGCCCTTGGAACTCTTACATAAAGGAAACCAGAGAAGACCTCCTCTTTATTAAAATACTGGATTGTTGGGAAAGTCACGATGCATTTTTACATAGAAAACATGACTTTTCCAACAACCCAACTGTTCGGTTTTGCTAAGATACTTACCTTACTGACGAGAATGTCTGTAGCTTCAAAATGCCTTCCATACATTTTGGGAGATTCACCAGGGATAGGTTCTATCTTGACACAGACCTCCTGTCCTTTTTTTGCAACATCCACTTGTTTATGGTTTATTTCAATACTTGTTACTATTCCAATGTCAACAAACTATAAAATAAAAACAAACTATAAAGTATACAAAGGAATCATGCCAGTAACAGATGCCATCACTGGAAAGCTGAAATAAAAACTTGAGCAGAAGTGTCTTTAAGATCTTAGCTCTGTGACCCTCATTACTAAGGATCTCCACAGTGTCACCTTCTCATTGGTAAACTACATGCCTTCTGGCCTTCATAAGCTGGCTGCACGGACAACAGAAGATGACTAACTGTTCTGGAAAACTTTGAAAATGTTCTATCAACCCACTGCAGTTTGCTATTTCTGCATGACTCCCACATAACAGGTGCATGTTCATTGGGAACAGCAGCCATAAAGGTTCTGTATCAACAATTAGCCAGGAGAGTGGTCAGTGATGAACAAGGGAGGAGAAGCAGCAGGGATGAAGTCAGGGAGGCAACTGGGGACACGCGGGGCCTTGAAGGACACAGTATGAACCACTGCATTTCATTCTGGGGATGAAAGAAGTTTGGGCAAGCGAATGATCGGATTTCACTTAGAGTCTGAGCAGGAGGAAAAAAAAAAAAACACTACTGCTTGTGGCATGAAGAAACATAGTAAATGAAAACAGGTGAGTATAGTTTGACTAAAACCTCACAGAAGATAATTTCTGCAAATAAATGGTCTAGCTCAATCCACTGAGAGGTACAGACGCAGTATGAGCCAGTGCTCAGATGATGTCCAAGCATCTTTTCCCACTGGAGGCAGGGGAGTAGCCGCTGAGTCTGGGGCATGTCACTACGCCAGAAAGGAATAAAGTGCCCCAGGTGCTGTGACAAAGACATACCAGCTGGCTTGAATGGCTTCCCACTAACTGGATAATTTTGGTATCAAAAATACTGGTAATAGACCTAGTACATCAAATTTTTAAGAAAACAATGAATATATAAGATAATGAGAAAGGACAGGGAGGAATATTTATAGAACGGGAGAGGAAATCAGTTTTGCAACCTTTTATGTAATAACTGACTTAAGCAAGGATTGCCAAAGATTACTAAGCCTTTCGGATGAAAGTTGTTGAGTAACAGGATATGCACAAGGGCTCAAAGTCCCCTTACAGACGAGTAATTACAAAGGGGGAAAGATCTGTCTCTTAGGAAAACCACCTGTATGTCCTATACAGAACACGGGAAGCACCTACATATACAAGTCTTTTCCAATATACGGGTTACTTTCACCAGTATCTTGTCATGAGAAAACAAATACAAGTTGAGAAATAACCTGTGAACAGGTTATGTTCTGAACTCTTAAAAATGGAAAGAGGACTATTCCTGATAGAAAAACCAAAATAACCAAATACAATGCATCTTTCAGGGACCCGAGGCCAAGTTAAGGAGGTGGAATTATTAAAAACATTTTGGGGAGAAGTGATGAAATGTGAGGACCATTAAGTATATGTTATCAAGTGAATACTGTTAGATATGCTAATCTAGAAGGGAATGTGAGTGCTTTGAAGTTTCAAAACATTTAAATGGCAACAATTTAAAGTAATTTGCAACTTTCACTAGCGATTTGAATCACTGATATCAGATGCTAAAAATCAACATTGAGGAACACTGGTATTTTAGCCATACCGAGGTATAAATTACAAGTGATGGGCTTTCCTGGATTTAAATTTTTGTTTGTCACCACTATTAGACTCCCATTTGCTGCTTTGAGAGAGGACAGATTTTAAAAAATACAACAGGAACTTACATTTTTGCTAGGGACACACATGGGTGTCCCCTGTTTCACCTGACCAGCTTCCACAGTCACTCCCATCACAATTGGATCTCGAGAATTGAAAATAAACTGAGGAAGGATTTTCATCTTGCAGGGAAATACTGCTATGTGCCTAAAAGGAAAAAAGAAAATCCAAGAATTTTTAAGCTTAAAAATCACTAAAAACAAGTACAGGTGACTATGAGGCGTTTCCTGTTAGATAACAGCAGCTTTCGTCCCTGGGCCCAGGAGACCAACAAGGATGATGCAGACACCTCAGAGGTAGGTGCTACAGATCATGGCTACCTTCATATGTTGCTTCATTTTCTCTTCATCATCTCCCCACCCCTCTTTCCATACAGGAGTGTTTTTGTACCCACAATCAAAGATCTGAGTCTTTGCCTTGAAGATAGAACTTTTACAAAACCTGTCAGAAATATGACAGTGTGACACGCATGTAATCTCTTCTGGGGGCCATAGAAATGCCATGCCATATCCTCCTTTCCTCACCATGTTCCCAAATAGGTTATTCAAAAGGCCAATATGTCCCTTTTAGCAAATGCTTAAAGTGCTTTTAAGGTCCTAGCAGCCTTCCTAATCAAATCTAAGTCTTTTTCACATTTCATGTCCTAAAGTAAATCCCAATCTACAGCCCATTATTTACCAGTGGCTCTACTTCTAAAATAGAGCCCAAATGGAGCCATCACTTCCCACAATGCTTCTGGCCTGACCCACCATTACATTCTGCCTGGACTATGGGACCCTCCTGATAGGCTCTTCTCACCAATTTCTTAACATACTCAGTCCTGCCAACTTCTCTGACCTCATTTCTTATCTTTCACCAATTTCACCATGTGAACCCATCTCTATTTGCCAGGAGTGTGCTTCTGCCTGGATACCCCAAACATGTGTGGATGGCTCACTTCATGCCCCTCTGTTATCTCTACTCCAATGATAGCCCTATGGAGATGAGCTGCTGCCTCCAACCACAAGATTTACTGTTCTCTCTTTATCTAGGAGAGCCAGACTGCTTTGCTTCTCATGTGTTTATTGCTTGTCTCTCCTCTGAATTCCAAGAGGAGGGACCTGCTTGGGGTCACTGCTGACTCCTGCAGTACCTGCAGCAGTGCCTGTACTAGGCACTCATGAGGTTTGCTAGGGAAAAGAACTTCCCTCCCATGGAATGTCTCACCTCATTTCCCAATATTCCACTCTAATTCTGTTACTTTCCTCTTATGCAATTCCAGATAAGAAACTCCAGCAAGATAAAGCCCACAGATGTAGTAGCTACTCACCAACTGACACCTGGTGCTACCAAATTGAAAATTTAAAAAAAAAAAAAAAAAAACAAGATTACAGACAGGACATTCCCATACTGCTGGAATGTCTCAGTTGTACAGGACTTGTAGTTTATAACACTCCACTTCAGGATGCAGCTGCTGGTACATGAGCAAATTCCCTGCTTCTGCTGTCTACATACTATTCTAGTATTTGGTAATTCTCAAATCAATTTCATTTTCAAAGATCCAGAGTCAGTAAAATCACCTACTTACTTAAATTCTTCTTGTTTCTGTTTCTTGTAGTCTTGTCTGTATTTTGTAAAGGCATCAAACAAATGATAAATAATTTCTGCACTAAAGATTCTAACTCCTAAACTATCAGCCATTTCTTGTGCATCTCGTTCAATTCTCACATCAAAGGCCAAAATTACTGCGTACCTGAAAGGTCAAAACACAAAGGTCATTCAATGAAAAATGGATCATTCATTCAACTGTCATAAAGGATAGTTCTACAAAAATAGGTGGGTAATATACAAGTCTTCAGAGCAGAAGAGAAATTACTTACTGAGGATCATGTTCTAACATCACCGAGGCCTTCATAACATCTTTTTTATGGACAGGGCCAATGTTAATGCCTGCATACTGTAAAAAAGAGTTTCCAAATTTAACTGCCTGTGTCAGGTAACAGAATCAGCACCACAAACCATGACAACCACTGACTGGTGGAGTTGGGTAGGAATACTCACGGGCACTTCTGATGTTTTCAAAAATTCCAGCAGAGCTTCCAGAGACCCCAATGTAGATGCCTGGACATAAACTCCTTTTTCTTCTAACTTGATAGCATTTAGTGTTTGCTTTAACTCGTGGATTAATTCATCCTTGAAAAGAAATTAAATTTGACAAAGGCTGTAGTCACACCTCTATCCAGCTGCTGACTAGAATTAAGCTATATTTTTTCTCTTTTTGATTAAGTACTCATCTGAAAATACAAAACAAAGGCTAAGAACGAGTAAAGCATAGCAGAACCCATGCTTGTATGGAGAGATTCAGGACCTTTATCTGAGCCGAGCCTCATTTCACCTTTAGACAAAGGTTTACTAACATTAAAATATGCTGATGTGTAGGCAGAATGAAGTAATTAAAATCACTGAAAAGCTAAAAGGATTGCAGAAACAATGTGTTGCGGTAGCCTAAAGGCTCTGTCTTAACGATGAAATGCCCTACCTAATTCCATGATCTGAGCATCCCTTTTTTCCACCACTGCTGCTCTGGAGATGGAACAGAGATTGTAACCACAGATGATGCCACTAAAGCAAAAGCTCATGCCATACTCAGGATGTCACAGAGACATCTGTCCTATTCTCACTGGCCCCATGGGGGCAAGTTCCCTGATGGCAGTGACCTGTATCGCCTAAATAATAATGGTGGTCCCAGACACTAGATCAGCCATGTGCTGGGATCTTCCTCTATTTGGCAAGTGAGCAAGTAAACTACGGTCCATAGTGTGCTTTTGTGAAACTACAATGGACTCATGGTCACGTGCTCCCATAAATAGACAGACTTTAAAATGACTCCTAGTGCCTAATTAGATTCTCTTTATTTCTGTCTAAATATTAAGGTATTTATGATCAAACTTCTACCTTCTGATTTCATTTTTTATTTAAATAAAAGGCATACTTCAAAATTCCAATGTCTCTACCAATTCATGTAACTGTACAAACTGAAGTAATTTAAGAGCACCATCTTATTTTGCTACAAGGTCACCAGATAAGGCTTCGCAAAGACAAGGTACCCATTTTATTCACCATTGCTAATGTGTACCCTCTGACACAAGGCAAAACTCAAATAGTTTTGGAGGGGAAAAAAATATTAAAATAACTTACTTTAAGAACTGGAATTTCATCTTCTTTATAAGCCACCAGGAGGGGTAAGCCAGCCAATGTTTTCTCCAGGTCTTTTCCAAGTATCTTCACCCCCTGAGCTGCTTCCACTTCTTTATGTTTTTCATACTGGTTCTACGGAGTTCAAAAAATTTTTGTTATATTTATTTGGTGAATGATTAGCAGTAGTAGATAACTGATATAAGACAGTATTTTCATGACCTTGGAGGTAGAGAAATATTTCTTTAACTAGACACAAAAAGCAATAATCTCAAAAGACTACTAAATTCAATATTAAAAGTAGTATTTGTTTCTCAAGGCATCATAGAAAAGGTAAGAGAGGATGTTGCAGTACAAATAATAAGGAATTAGTATCCTGGCTAGATAAAACACTCTTTTAAATCTAAAATAAAGACTGTCAATGCCAGTGCCTCCTTAGTGGCACAGGGGTTAAAGTCTCAGCGCTATCAAGTTATTGCCAGCCCCTGCAGCATGAGTTCGATCCCCGGCCAGGGAGCTAACTCACATGGCACAGCAGACCTCTCCTGTCTCGCTCACTGCTCCCCTCAGCAAGTGTATTTCAGTAAAAATCTGCCTGTTCTACTCCCCACTCTTTTCTCTGTTGAATCCTCTCACCCTCTACACCTATCTCTGGCCTGTACCCCAGTTCTTACATGCATAAATAAAAATGAATCTTTAAAGGAAAAAAAAAAAAAAAGACTGACAATACCACAGCAAAATTGGAATTTCACAAAGGAGTGATTTAAATGACTAAAAACATAAAATAATGACCAATCATATTTCAAGCAGGCAAGTGCAAACATTAACAGCAATGAGCTACACACTCACCAATAAGGCAAATTTAAAAACTTCTGGCATCAAAGAGCTGATGAAGATGTGAAATAATAACTCTAAAACTACAGTTCAAAGTGTAACTTGTTATATTCACAAAGGACAACAGAGTGGCCTTATCTAATAAGGCTCAAGATAAGCATAAGTAACAACTCAGTAATTCACTCCTGTGTACACACTCTGGAGAAAACTGTACAACTGCTCCAGGAGATAATACAATGAAGTTCAATGGAATAGGACTGTCAGTAATAACAAAAATTTAACAAGTGGAGACAGCCTACACTTTCCATCAATAAGAGAATAAAGAGAATAACCCGTAAGATTCATGCAATGGAATACCACACAACGAAAATGAATAGTTATATGCAACAAAATTGACAAATCTTAAAATTATTTTTTGACGGAAGAAGTCAGATACAAAGGAACACTATGATATCCATACATATTTTTATGGGTACACTCTCAGGTATTGTAACTAATTTTAAAAAGCAAGGATATTAGTAAACCGCCATAAAAATATGGCATAGTTAACTTTTACAGAGGGAGCTAAGATCAGGAAGAGGCATGAAGACAACTGTGGGGTGTTAGCATTGTTCTCATTTTCTACCTAATTGCACTTCCTAAAAATGTGTTAAAGTTATCCTCTGTTTTTAGTATGTTACTGTACGAATTTTTGATTTCAAAGAATTATTAATGATAAACCAGTTAATAAAGAACCAAAACAATATAATCTTTGGGCCTCCCTGGTGGCGCAGGCGGTTGAGTGCCGCACTGTGAAGCTGTTCGCAGCCTCTGCACCGCAGGTTTGATCCCGGTTGGCCAGTGAGAATCCCACATGGCACGGCAGATCTTTCCTGTCTCGCCCGCTGCTCCCCTCAGCAGTGTATTTCTTCAGCCTGCCTATTCTGTACCCCGCTGTTTCTGGTAAATCCTCTCACCCTCCCGTGCATCTGGCCTGTACCCCACCACTTGTATAAAAAAAAATATATAATCTTTATAAAAAGTTCAGTTGGTAAACAGGAACCTCCCAAATAGGAACCTCCCTACATGTCCACTGACAGATGAGCCTCGCTTTATGGCAACATCTAAATAAAAGTCAAGACAGATGTATTGCACATTAAGCCAAGTAGTTCTCAAAGTGAGAAAACAACCTTAGCAGAAAACAACCTCGTACAAGTGCATACGTGTCAACACTACAACCTTGGCTTACCTTTACTCGTAATTCCTTCATAGGAGGAGGCAACAGAAGGCCTCGAATCTGAGTTACGATGGGCCCTTCTACTCCAGGAACAATAATTGTATCTCCTTCCTTCAAACGCCCATTGATCAATATTACATCTATAGTGGTGCCCATTCCTGGGAGAGCCTTAACCTGAGACACAATATTGCAAAGAGATTGAAATATATACTAAAATACACCTCCTTGACTAAATGTAAAAGTAGAAAACATCCCCACCCTAAAACTTATTTTTTTTAAAAAGGCAATAAACCGAAAAGTTGACTGTTATTACCTCCATCACCTGAGCCCTCAGCTCTTCACAGTGCGCAAGTCTCTTGCTCAACATGGTCTGAGTTAACTCGACAAGAAGGTAGATCAGACTTCCCATGCCATCACCAGTATGTGCAGAGGTAGGTACCAAGGACACAAAAGTGCGGGGATCTTTATTCTCATAAAACAAAGCCGCATTCAAACCCTAGAGACATGAAAAGCAAAATCATTCCAAAAATCATGCTGCGAAGGTAGGTATCCAAGAATAGAAACTAACTAGAAATTAGATATATAAATGGCTACTCATTCTGAAGCTCCTCAAAAAAACCTCCAGAAAAGATCGTACATAGTCTGTAGATATTAATTACATTACAGAAAAGCCAACTCAGTTTTCAAAATTTAAATATCCAAACTACAAAGAGAGATCTTCGAACTGTCAACTGATATTAATAAAGGATAGTATAAGGGGGGCCTCCCCGGTGGCGCAGTGGTTGAGCGCTGGGTTGCAAAGCTGCCCACAGCCTCTGTAGCGCCAGTTCGATCCCCGGCTGCTCCCCGGCCACCGGAGGAGGGTCCCACATGGTGTGCAGACCTCTCCTGCCGCCCGCTGCTCCCCTCAGCAGTGTACTTCATCAGTCTGCCTGCTCTACTCTCCATTCTGACTCTGGTGAATTTTCTCACCCTCCCACGCTTCTGACTGTACCCAATGCTTGTATAAAATAAAAATAAATAAATCTTTTAAAAAAAAAAAAAAGGATAGTATAAGGGGAAAGAATGAAAAACACTAATAACCATTAGAATAGAGCCAGTATTGATGAAAATACTAACTTTATAGTAAATATAACGAAATGAAAGAAAATATTTTATGATATAGGTTCTTAATAAACAAGGGAAAACTTTCTTACCTGCTGTGCAAATTCCACAATAATAGCCTTTGCTCGCTCCTCAAATTCATCTTTTGTATTCTTCTTCTGCTTTTTTAAAGTAGCAGCCACATCAGAGTCAGGGCTCTTTTTCCAATCATACAGCCTATCAATCTGGAAAAGTCTTTTCGTAAGAAACACCTCTAAAAGATTAAGAACACTCAGGAATTTAACTAAGATTAAAAGCTCCAGAAAATTCCAAGTGTGTGTATACATGGTATCTATACACACACCATGGTCTCCATATCCAGATGTATGAATTATTCTATTGCACCTAAAGTCCTTTATACCCTGGCCTGTGTATTTTCTTAAACTAGAAACAGCTGAGGTTATCATGCACTCAGCCTCCAACCAGTTCATGAGAGGCTCCAAGCGACTTAAGATAAGCTCCTAGTATTACTACCATGTGACCACCACACATTATTTGAAATCCAAAGTGGTTTTATTAAGCACACAGGGACACAGGTTAATTACAGCAAATACCATCACCAAGAAATTATATATCAAGAAAACAAAGTAAAAAATGAAGTTATTTCTTACTTCAGAAAATAGCCCATTTTAACTGCCTTACTGATCAAATTAGAATTAAATTTTGCTTAATTTCACAAACTTTCCAAAAGTATGATAGAGAGGAAAATTATTTAATAGTAAAAGCAAAAAAAAAAAAAAATCTAGTGGATTAGCTTAAAGTTATCATATAAAAAAAGGAGACTAATCTGAAAATTACTAAGGAGAAATATGAGTAAGCTGACACAGATTGACAAATGATAAAGATGATATTTTGCATGAGGTTATTATACTCAAAAGTTGTTATAACCCACTGACTTTAAAAGAAAAACATAAAACCTATAGTTTAAAAATTTGTAATCTGAAGTGAAGAACTTATTGGATGAGCTTAATAGCAATTACACACTACAAAGTATTAGTGATCCTGAAGATAGAGCAATAAAAAATATCCCGTCTGGAACATATGGAGAAAAAAAAGATCAAAGGGGAAAAAAAAAAACTTTACTTGTGGGGACACTATTAAGAGAAATAACTCAATTTGTAGAGAAGTCCTAGAGTGGGAAAATAGAGCAGGAAAACATCTCAGTGAGTAACAACCCAGAATTTAAAAAATGTGAGGAAGACTTTAAGTCCATAAATCTATGAAAAATCAAACCCAAATAGCATAAAATAAACTATTATAAAGTCACATTGATGAAACTCTTAAAATATCCTAAAAGCAGTCAAAGACAAAAAAAAAAAGACAGCATTACTTATGAGAACAAAAAATGAGTAAATACCAGAAAGCAAAGATAAAGTAAAAACATTTTTAAACCCACAATTCTGTATCAAGTGAAAATATTCAGAAGATATTTTTATCTAAATTGATAATAATAAAGACACAAACACATCTAACCAACACTTAGAAGGAAATTAATATCCTTTAAATTCTTAAAAACAAGTATCAATGATCTAAACCCCCACCATAAAAATTGGAAGAGCAAATGGAAACAGAAGAATATGATAAAATGAATGCTAGAAACCAATGAAATACAGACAATAGAGAATACCAATAAAATCAAATAGGGAATATCAATAAAACCAAAAGGGTTATTTTTAAAAATACGAAATTCTTTATTTAACTGAAATAACACTGCATTATGTTTCAGGTATGCATCACTAAAAATCAATGTATATATGTACCACATAAATTCACCACTGAACATCCAATTCTATGCTTCACACCATTTCCCCTTTGTCCCAAATTAAGGACTCCCCTCTTTCCCTGTTGGTAGCCACTAATTAGTATAATAGTTCAAGTTTATTTTTATTTAGTTTCCCTGTTTGTTTTCTCTGTATACCACATATCTGTGAAATCATATGGTGATTAATTTTGTAGGGTTTATTTTACAAGCATAATTACCCTCTAGGATCCATCCATACTGTGAAATGGCAGAGTTTTCATCTTTTCTTTTTCTTTGAACATTAGAAATCCTTTATGCATCTTACACCTGTACAGCATGCCACTGTGTATATATACACCACATCATTATTCACTTGTCAGTCAATGGGTACTTAGATTGTTTTCAATTTTTGTCTACCATAAGTAATGTGGCAGGTACATGGGGGTTCATAGGTCCCTCTGAATTAGTGTATGGGTGGTGGGAGGGAAAATACCCACAAGTGGGATAACTGGATCTAATGGAGTTTCTATTTTAATTGCTTGATGAATCTCTATACTGCTTCCCATAGCTGTACCACTTTACATTCCCACCAACAGGGTTTCCCTTCTGCTACATTCTCTACAACACTTGCTTCTCATCTTTTGGATAGCAACCGTTCTCACAGGTATGAGGTGATATGTCATTGCTGCTTCGATTTACATTTCCCTAAAGAGAAGACATTTTTTTCAAGTGCTTGTGGCCATCCATATGTCTTCATTGTGTAGAAGTGTCTATTCAGATCCCCTGTCCATTTTTTAATTTGGTTATTTGGGACTTGATATGAAAGACATTGCAAGTGTCTTTCCATTTTAATGTAAACTTTTCACTGTGCAGAAGCTTTTTAGTATGATATAGTTCTGTTTCTTTTTGCTTTTGTCTTCCTTGCCACTGGAGTCCCTACACACATCTCTAAGGTTCATATCAAGGAGTATAACTTGTTTTCATCTCTGTATTTAATGGTTTCTAGCCTCACATCCACATCTTTAATTCATTTTGAATTTATATCTGTGTATGGTGTTAGATAATGGTCTAGTTTCACTTTTTGTATGTGGCTGTCCTGTTTTGCCAACATCATTTATTAAACAGACTTTCTTTGTTCCATTGTAAGCTCTTAACACCTTTGTGGTAAATTTGTTGTCCATATGTGTGTGTTTTATTTCTGGACTCTCAATTCTCTTCCATTGATCTATTTTTACTCTACCACCAACCTGTTTTAATCATTATTGCTTTGCAGTATAGTTCAAAGGGAATCTGATACCTACATTTTTACTCAAACATTTTTGTTAAATGGGGTTTTTGTAGCTCCAAATGAATTTTTTTATTTTTGTTCTATTTCTGTAAAGAATGTCATGGGATTTGATAAGGACTGCTTTGGATTTGCATATGCTTTCAGTAATATAGCCATTTTAACCGTGTTAATTCTTCCAATCCATGAACACAGAATACATAGAATTCTATACTAGCAAAACATAAAATACCTGAATAACACCACACCTACTTAAATTCCGTGGTGATGTGATTTTACTTGTTAGATCAAACACTTAATAAAATAATACCATTCCTACACAAACTCTTTCAAAAAACAGACAATACTCAACCTCATCTTTGTGAGTTCAATACTGCAATGACATCAAAACCAGACAAAAAAATATTACAAGAAAATTATATACCAAAGCCACTCATGGATACAAAAATGTTAAAAAATTAGCAAGTAAAATCCAGGATTTGTATTAGTAATGCAGGGTTGGTTTAAGATTCAATAATCAACAGTAATAACAAATGTTGCTGGAAAAAGTATATATCAACACACAAAACACTCAATCGAGACACAAACCGTACACCCATCACAAAAATTAATTCAGAATGGATCAAAGATATCAATGTAAAACACAAACTATGAGCCTTCTAGAAGGTATCATAAGAGAAAACCTAGATGACCTTGGCTATGGTGATGACTGGTTAGATACAACTCGATGACTCGTTAAAGAAAAAGTGAAAGCTAGATACAATTAAAATTAAAACTTCTCTGTGAAAGATCATGTTAAGAGAATGAGACAATGAGCTACAGAGTGGGAGAAAATATTTGCAAAAAACACATCTGATAAAAAACTGGTATCCAAATATACAAAGAATTCAACAAGACAAACCAATTAAAAAATGGGTCAATGAGTTTAACAGACACTTTACCAAAGATGTACACATGGCAAATAAGCCCATAAACAGATGTCTCATATCTTAACACAATCAGGGAAACATAAAATAACAAAATGCCACTACACACCTATTAGAATGGACAAAATCCAAAACACTAACAATACCATATGATGGTGAGTATGTGGAACAACACAGAATTTAACTGTTGTGGGAATACAAAATGATACAGTAACTTTGACAGTTTCTTACAAAACTAAACATACTTTATCATCTAGTCATCACACACCTTGGTATTTAACCAAGAGTTAAAAGCTTACGCCACACAAAAACCTGCACATGAATGTTTACTTTATTTATAATGCAAAACTTAGCTGTCCTTCATGGGGTGGATGGATAAATTGTGGTGTATCTGGACAATGAATATTATTCAGTGCTAAAAAGAAATGAACTGCCAAGCCATGAAAAGACACGGAGGAAACGTTAATGCATAAACAGTAAGTGAAAGAAGACAACTTGAAAGGACTACATACTGTAGGAGTCCAACTACATGACATTCTGGAAAAGGCAAAACCATGGAGACAGCGGATACATGAATGAATAGGTAAGGCACAGAGAATTTTTAGGCAAGAAAATACTATGATACCATAATGATGTATATATGTCATTATAAATTTGTCCAAAGTCATAAATGTACAAGAGTGAATGAACCCTAATGTAAACAATGGACTTTGGGTGATTCTTATATGTAAATGTAAGTTCATCAAGTGTATCAAACGTACCACTCTAATAGAAAGGGAAACTCTTATACTGGGGAGGATGTGTATGGGTGGGTTTGTGTATGAATATCAATTTTTCTGGGAACTTTAAAATGCTCTTAAAAAAGGAAAATCTTACATAGAAAGTTAGTAAATCCCCACAAAATATCAAGTCAATTTTGTTAATAAAGGAGAAAAGTCACATGAACATTGAGATGCATTATATGTATCTGACAAAAATCATCATTCATAACAAAAGAAATAAGGCCAGAAAACACTAAGCAACCTATATAAAGAAACTTCCCTTAACCTAATAGCATTTACAAAAAAAAAACCCTTACAACTGATAAAACTTATGATGAAGGATCAAACGCTTGCCCCCTAAGATCAAGAAGAAAGCAGGGATGTCTATTATCACTTCTATTCATCATAGTTCTACAAGTCTAGTTAGTACAGTAAGGAAGAAAAAATTCACAGAACGTACAGATAAGGGAAAATATACAACAGTAATTGCAGATAACATAGTAGCATATCTAGAAAATCTCACAGGATCTACAGAAAAAGTTACTAGGACTAATCAGTGAATTTAACAAGCTCACAATATAAAAGGTCAATATGTAAAAATCAACTTTCTATGTAAAAGTGACAATTAAAAATTCAAATTTTAATGCTATTTACAATAGTATCAAAACTATGAAATACTAGAGATAAATTTAGAAAAATTGGTCTAACTCACTGACAATGAAACTACAGAATATTGCCATGAGAGTAAATATTGCTCCCCTCAGCAATACATTTCAGTGGATCCGCCGGCTCTGCTCCCCACACTACCTCTGGTGAATCCTCTCACCCCCTTCACCTCTGGCCTATACCCCAGTTCTTGTACATATAAATGTTAAAAAAAATAAAATGTCAATTCTCCCAGAATTTTATCTATAAATTAAATACAATCTCAATCAGAATCCTCAAAGCTTTTTGTAGAAACCGAAAGTTGAAGAACTTAACACTACCTAATAAAGGCATGAACATAGTGATCAATGAAAGAAGATAAATACTAAGACATACACACACGTCTATATAGCTACATAAATTGTCAACAAATTTACAACAAAGATTTCAAAGTAATTCAACAGGGAAAAGAGTAATATTTTCAACAAAGATTTTGAATTAAATATTTATGTGGAAACAAGTAAAGCTTGACCCTCATTACATATCAAGCACAAACATCAAATGTATTTATCAAAATGTTAAATATCTACAAACAGTGGAGAAAATCTTCATGATCTTGGGGTGGGAAAAGATTACTTATATAGAAAACAAGAAACAAATTATTTAAAAATCCCCAAATTGGATTTTGCCACAATTAGAATGTTCAGTTATTTAAAATACACAACTAAGAAAGTGAAAAACTAAGTTCTTAACTACAAGAATATATGTGAATTGTATAAAGGACAGAAGACAAATATAAATAAAGAATGCTTAAAGCTCAACACTAATAAAAAATGAGCATTAGGCTTTAAATGAACACTTCAAAAAGAGGGCATTGACAAGATATCTGATACCATCAGTCACCATGGAAACTCAAACTACAGTACTTAAGCTCTATACAGTTATCAGAATGGCTACAGGCAGGGCAAGTGTCAGCAAAAATGTGCAGAAACACTGGAACTCCCATACAAGGCTCATTCAAATGTACAATGGTAGAATCTCTTTTGAAAAATGTGTCAGTTTCTCATAAAATTGAACATATGTATACCATATGATTTAGCAATTCTATATTTACTCAAAGTAAATAGAAACAAATGTCTACAAAAGGACTTACACAGACATGTTTGTAGCTGCTTCATTAGTAACTTAAAATTGGAATCAACCCCAATGTCCTTCAATCATAAATACATAAAACTATGTTATCACTCATATAATAAAACATAACTCAACATAAAAAGGAAAAAATCTATAATAACATGGATAAATCTATGAGTAGTGAAAATGACAAATATAATCCACATGCTGTACAATTCCACTAATATTATTTTAAAAAAACAGGCAAAACTAGACTGTGTGATAGATAGATCAGTGTTTGGGACTGGAAATGTGGGCAGGCTGCCTGTAAAGAACATTCTGGGAATATGGAGATGTTCTATATTCTGAAAGATGATGGCCATCTGTATACAGAAATGTGACAAAATAAACTGTATACTTAGCATGAGTTTTTACTAATACAGAAGTTCATTAGTACTTTTGAAATCATTCAAAAATTAAGAAGCTTTTTTTTATAATTTAATTTTCCAAAAGAGCTTAACTTACCTTATTGAGTGCAACAATGAAGGGGCATTTTTTAGATTTCAGAAGGTTGATAGATTCAATTGTCTGGGGCTCCAAACCGTGCATAATATCAACAACTAAAATGGCAATATCACAAAGAGAGCTTCCTCTGTTTCTCAGATTACTATTGAAAAGAGGAAAAAGATACATAAATAGCAATCTTGAAATGAATACTTTCACTTGTCAAATTTTTAATTTCTTTGTAAAGCCTAAATAAAAAGAACAAAATGAAGTACATGCATTAAATTCAAGTGCCATTAGCCCTTAACTTGCCAAATGCTTATCTGACAGTGAACTGACATCAGTTGGAATGAGTTAGTTCCAGCAGTTACTCCAATATTTCTGCCAATTTTACTGACCAAGTTTTTTGCGCTAAGGAATATGGCCAAGAGGCAACAGGATAAAATTCCACCTGTAATGGGTTTCACAGGAGATAGACCAGGTATGTATTAGGATTTGCTCTTTCAAAGTAGAATACTTCTCTCTATAAAAAACAAGTATCCATATAAAATAGTACTAAATCAGTGAGGCACAAATGAGGATTAGTAGTTACTGGGACTACAGATCTTAAATACTATCCAAAGATTAAAGACTAGCAAACACCTTACCATCTCTGAACTTTTAGACTTAAATTTTCAAGCAATTTGCTTGATGACAGAAGATTTAAATGGTTCTTACCTGAAAGACTCATGCCCTGGAGTATCAATAATCAGCATTCCGGGTATCCGTACATTCTCTCTATCAAACTAGAAAAGGTGGGGAAAAGTGGAGAGTTTACAGAAGTCAAAACACTGAAAGTTTCTTTACAGAATAATTATTCTGCAATGACAACTTAACACACCACTTTTTTCCCCAAATGAACAGTTTCAAAACAAGTCAATCAATAAAGCACAATATTTCCATTAATATTAAAGAGTTTTGCCCAAAAAACCTGCAATGACAAAAAGATTCCCTTTATTAAAGTCACAAAATATGGTACAGTCTAAATTTGAGAAGATTAATAGCAACAATAACACAGAAGTTCTCCAAGAGTGATTATCTATTATGTAAAAAAATACTAAGATGTTCTTAGTGTTTGGAAAATTTATCTGATCCAATTTTAAAGCAATTTCAACTCTTGAGAAATATCCCAGGGTGTGTTTTTAAAGAAAATTTACCCACTGACTTTAAAATATTAAATAGATTCAGACCTTGCCTCATTCAAGTATCTTAAGTACTTGATTTTTTTTGACAAAAGTATATAAAAATTACAAGACGCCTGACATGGACATGCTCTTTTAAGCTTCAAATCTCGCTCTCAAACACACATAACTTTTAAGATTTTGTTCATTTATAATTTCTGTCAATCTCCAAATAACTTTACAAAATTTTATTTCCTAATCTATGTTAAAATGACTCAAATTCAAAACTTCGCAAATTCACATTCTGGTGGTCTAAAATCAACATTTATTCAGCATTGTCATTGTTTACTTTAGTGCATGGAATATAAACACTGTAACTACTTTGTCACATAAAGGTTATCCTGAGAACTTTAATACAGGCCTAACAAAAAATCATGCTTTTTAACTATGTTCTAAAATAACATCAGATTTTGAGTTATGGCAACTGGTAGAATAAGCTATAATAAACTACTCTAATACATAGAAATACCAGATTAAATACAACCACAATTAATATTACAAATTTGAAAAGCTGTTAACTGTTCCAAAAATATATATTTTAAATTACATACTGAAATGTGACACAACATAACTGAAAAACTGACCCACAACAACCAACAACAAAACACACAAAGGTCAAAACTGACATTCTGGGCCTCCCTGGTGGCACAAGGGGTAAAGATGCTAGAAAGCTATCCACAGCTACTACAGCACGAGTTCGATCCCCAGCTGGCCAGGGAGCTACCCACAAGGCACAGCACACCTCTCTTGCTCCCCTTAGCAGTGTACTTTAGTCAATCCGCCTGTTCTGTTCCCCGCTCTGTCTCTGGTGAATCCTCTCACCTCCCACACCTCTGGCCTGTACCCCAGTTCTTGTATGCATAAATAAATAAATCCTTAAAAAAAAACTGACTTTGTAAGATGAAGACCACAAAATAACTCAATTTTCAGAAACCTGAGTAATATTCCCATTATTCCTTCCATAAGGATTTACCAGAAAGCAAAGTTTGTAAAATACAATCTCAAAAAAAAAAAAAGACAAAAACTGGAGTAATAAGCAGAGACCCTTCCTATATACAAAACTAAAAAGATTAAAAAAGGAATAAAGGAGAATACCAGCATGTAATAATATATGTTGTATGTGTCAGTTATCAATTTATTACTTTTCAGTTCCAAATATACCACTTTCACCTGTTCTGTGATAATAGAACTAGGGAATTAGTTTCAAGGCTCAGATCCAGGTCTGGAGCAGGTAATATATAAGATGAGTCTAGAACATCCTGTTATATCAGACACCATGAATGCAACCAAAGAACAATAAGACTACTTTAATTCTATCAAAAAGACTCAGGAGTCAACCACTGGACAAAGATAATAACAGAAATGCATTAAAACATAGTTGATATTTAAATGTCTATGTGTATAACACCGAACCAAACTGGTCTTTTTTTTTTTTGTGGGACGCTCGCCGGTGGCCGGGGATCAAACTGGCGCTGCAGAGGCGGCGGGCAGCCTCGCAACCCGGCGCTCAACCACTGCACCACCAGGGAGGCCCACACTCTTTATTTTAAAAGGTAAAGGATCAGGTCTTTCCTATATTATGTATCACTGAGTAACCCAACAGCATGTTGGGTAGAGTATCTCTATTATGTAATCCAATAAAGATGGATGATGGGATTGAACTAGCAACATTTTGCAATCCCTACTTATATTAAAAGATAGATATTACATAAAAGTACTAGAAGAGGGCTCTGAATGGAAAGGAGCATAGACTGCTTCTGAGATTACTGGCAAATTTCTCTCTCAACATAGGTATAACGCAAAAGATATTTGAATTATAATAATTAAGCTTTACATAAATCTTTACTGTATTGTATTAAGCATAAACTAGAGAAAAAATATACATATAATCAATTAAATAGAAGGAAGATTATGTTCAAGCATGGAGAGTAACGACATACTCTAATTTCAGAATACTTATTGCCTCTTGGAGCAAGAGGGAAAGAAATGGAATATGAGGATTCCTACAATATCTGATGTTTTATTTCATATATAAAAAGATCTGAAGCAAAACAAGGCAAGATAATACATGCAATGTTGGTCTGTTATACTGTCATGTTCTTTTTTTCTAGGTTTGTATTTTACACATAATTTATAAAACACACAAAATACAATTTACTTACATTTTTAATCATCTTAGTCTGTTCATTAATAGCTTCAAGGGGAACATTGGTGGCCCCAATTTGCTGTGTGATACCACCTGCTTCACCATCTTGTACATGTGTATGACGTAGCTGGAATAAGACAGCAAATTCAGATTTGTATTTTGAAATATAAAAAGAAGCAAAAGCAAAAAGGAAGCTGTAACCTATCTGTTGTAAAGAGAACTGCCTAATGTGTTATGCTTTTTTTAGAAAGTATTATTCATTCATAATAAAATAAAAATATTTTACAATGTTAATTAGTTTTTAATGTAAAAGGCTGAATCAATGCACAGAAAAATTTCTTACTTTATCTAGAATTTTTGTCTTCCCTGTATCCACATGTCCAAGTACACAAATAACAGGGGCTCTTAGCTTTTCCGTATTTACAGTTTTACTATGCTCAAGTCGCCGTTTCTAAGAATGAAAAAAAAAAAAAAAAATCACAAGTATTATTTCAAATCATACTATCATTATTTTCCTTTATTTTGCCTTAGCAAGAGAATGTCGCAGCCTATATTCAAGTTCTTTGCCGACTTAATTACATGTGATTGCATCTTACAACATGAAGTTTACAATCTAATTCTCATCATAGTACCTTTGGAGGAGAAACCTGTTTATACAAATGTCAAACTGCACCATTAAACAGGAATAATGGTACCAAGTGTCAGCTTAAATTTTCTGAACACTTTCGTGCATGGTTGTTTTATCTAACTTACATGGTAGTTAATGTAAAAAGATACACAGTTGCATCCATAAAAAATCATTAATGGACCATGAAGAATAATAACTGGGGCTTTGGTGGTCAGCATGGTGTGACAACATACATTTGTAGAGGTGTAAACCTGTACCCATAAAACATACATAGTATTGTAAATCAATGTTACCTCAATAAATATATTTTTTAAATGAAGAACTATAAAAAAGTAAAGCCGTTTATTTCAAAACTTAAGTGTCACAAAATTTATAAAACTTAGAATTATAAGTATTTACTAACATCTCAGTCTATGATGAGAAATTAATTTCCTACATTCTCAAGATAATACCACTTCTATATAAGCCACTAAACTTATCCTTGAATCACAATGTATTTCTTTGTAACATTTACCTAAATACTTAAATTTCCTGAAGACAACAAAAACACATGACAATGATCCTTTGAAATGACAAGTTTTTCTAATATAACAAAGCTGGCAGGCAAATTGAAAGATTTGGATCAAAACTCCAAAGTAATGTCATTTACAACTAAAAATCAACATTTAAAAATCATTTTTTTGTGGGTAAAGCCAGGGATGCTGTTAAACATCCTAAAATAGAGCAGCCCCCCCCACCGAAAAACCACAAAATGACAATATATATAACAGGGTTAAAAGAAACCTCAATTTATAATAGACCATCTTAGTTCTTTAGGAATTCAGGAAACTTATCCCTGTCTAGACTTTTAAAGGCAAACAAAAGATAAACAGGCATTAAAAGCAAAATTTTTAAAAATTAGGTAATAAATACTGAATGATTCACACATGTGGAAAATAAACAACAACAAAAAAGCAAAGGAACTAAACCAAAACAAACTTAGATATTTGATTGCAGAACTAAGGCTATCAGAGGGGGAAGGGTGGGATGGGTATCAAAGGAGGAGGGGGCCCTATGGACTGGGGCACAGAGTTACTGGTGCTTTGGTTGTATGTGTGGTGTGGTAATAACACACGTCTGAAGAAGTATGGCCTTATACCCCTAGAACATATACAATGCAGAAAACCAATATTATCTAATAAAAGCAAATTAAATTTAAATAAAGACAAAAATATAACTACACATAAAAAAAACCTACAATGCTCACAGCTTTAAGTAGTTCAGCATCCTCAAGTAAACTAATTAAAAATTTCTCTTGATATCTACAGCATTAAGTAGGAAAAGTTAAGTTACATGTAGGCTGTACCAAACAGAAGCCTCATTAACAGCAGATTTAAACAACAAAAGTGATCAGATGCCTCAGACTGACTAACCTCAATATGCAAGGCAAACACTTTAATATTTATAACTAGAGTGCAAATGCTCAGCATACTTTACATACTTATAAGCCATCAAAGATCACATTAAAATTTGAGTAAAACATTTGAGAAAAAAAAAAAAAAAAAAAAGAGGCAGGCACCAGTCTAACTTAGGTGAGAGAATGAAGTTCCTGGGTTCGCAAGTGTCAAAGACCTATTACGTTTCAACATCAGTGCTTGTGAAGCACTACTCACTAAAAGCCTGCAGGTACAGAGTACAGTCCGAATGATCAGAGGAGTGGAAAGAAAATGAATAAAGAGAATACGAAAAATAAATACCTCAATCCTCCGTTTTGCTTTGTCATAAGCCCTTTCTTCTTTAGTTCGATCATCATCAGAGTCATATTCAGATTCTGAGCTCACTTCTTTACTTAGTTTTTTATCTAAAGTTTTTCCAGAATCTTTTTCATCTGACACCTTATCATCATCTTCATCACCTTCACTGCCTTCACTCTCTACTTCTTCTTCTTCCTCTTCGCTCTCCTCATCCTCCTCCTCTTCCTCTTCCTCCTCCTCCTCGTCTTCAGGGTTTTCTTTTACTTCAATATGTACTGTGGTTCCTTCTTTCAAGAAAACAAAGGGATTTTAAAACAAATGAAAGATTAAAATGAGAGATTTCTATAAAGACAATAAGGAAACAATACTGAGCAAAGGCAATAACACTGTATCATGAATTCCAAATTAATGCTTTCATGCATCGTAAATGAAGTGTTTGTCTACATGCTACAATGGAGATTATGATTTAACAGTAAAAATTTAATGCATTAATCCACACTTTCTCTAATAAGGAAAATCATTACTAAGCCAGTACAAGAAAGGACAAAACCCAGGGAGGTGAATACAATGCTTAGTACTTCTTTCTCCCTAGGCCCACTTGCTCATTCTAGAGGAGGCAGTTGAAAAGCTAAGCAGTTTTTAATAGCCTCTCAGTGCTTGGAGGTCCAGACATTGGGAATTCAGGCCTACCAAAGAGTCAGGGGGACTAAGGGGAAGGGAAGGTGGATAGACATTGGGTAACACCCTTACTGTGGAATGAAATCACGAAGAACTGCACCCCAGCAGTAAGGATGAACAAGAAGTAAACAAGAAGTATACTAGTTCACTTAGACTCCTGGTATATATAAATTCTCACCAAAGAAACAACATTCTTGACCTCAAATTATTGCCACAGTTTTACAAGTATAATATCCAGCACAATATATAAAAACAGCAAGCCACACGGGAAAACAAGTCACATGAGGAAAGCCAGCATATAGAACACCCACAGTACTACCATATATTGAAGTGGTAAAACCAAAATTATATAATGACTATACCTCTAACATCCAGGAAGCAAAAGACAAGATTAAAAATTTTAGAAGGTAAATAAAAACTATTAAAAAAATAATTAACTGGAAATTCTGAAACTGGAAAGTACAACAGACAAAATTTAGAACTCAAGAGATGGGTTTAATGGCAGAATAGAAAAAGCTGAGAAGATGAATGAACAAGACAGAGGCAGACCAAAGAAATGCTCTAGAATGAACAACTGAGACTCAAGAAGGCGGAAAATACAGAATAGGGAAGATGAAACAATGATATGATAAGGTCTATCAAAAGTATAACTGGAATCCGTGAAGGAAAATAGCTCAAAACACTGCAAAATTGATAAAAACATAAAGTCTTACGTTCATAAAAGCACCACAAGGAGAATAAATAAGAAATCTACACTGGTCAAATTGTAATAAAACTGCTGAAAACCCAAGAGACAAGAAAAGTTTTAGTCTAATACCTGATTTCTCAACAGAAACAATGAGCGCCAAGAAAAGGGAATCATGATAAAATCTCATCAAAGAATCCCTCACTCAGAAAATATTCCCTTCAAGAATAAAAACAAAGATATTTTTAGGAAAGTTAACAGTGGAATGCATCACTCACAGATCTGTACTACAGGAAATTCTAAAAGGTGTTCCATAGACAGGAAGATCCCAAATGAACGGTCAAAAACACAGGAAGAAATGAAGTATAATAAAATGTTAAGAATATGGGGAAACTCTAATATTGATATATAAAATAGTAATAAGCTATTATGGGGTTTAAATAAATCAAATGGAGTAATGTTATATAAACATAATTGGGTAAATATTGTTCATATATTCTACAGTCCTTGAATTATGTGGAAAGAGGTAACATGAGACACTGGTAGGTTAAAGATGCATATTGAAAGTCTCTAGAATAACCACTAAAAATAAGTGGAAAAGAACACAACTTCCAAGCTCATGAAAGGAGAAAAAGAAATAAAATTAAAGAAAAAAGGATATCCAAAAGATGGTTAAGCGAGAAAAAGAAATAGGCGTAACAAATAAGATACATAAAATCAATATACTTCATTAATTAGATCAAATGTTAAATTTATAAAGATAGGCTGGATGTGATACAGAAATGGTAATAAAGACAGAAAAAGATCGTATAAATCAAAGCTGGTGTAGATGTATTCCTATGAGATTAAGTAGACTTTAAGGTAAAAGGCATTGCTAGAAATAAGTAAGTACATATTAATAAACTAGTGATTAGAATCAATTCATTAGAAAGACACAAGATTGCATTCACCTAATAATACAGCATCAAAATATATAAAACAAAAATTAACAGAACTCAGGAAGACAGCCTACAATCATGGTGGGAGATTTAACACAGAGGTAAAAACACATCAGAAAACTTACAGCTTTAAAAACATATGGGGGGGGGGGTGGAAGACTGAAAAACTAAAAAGCTGAATATCCATCTCAAGAACTTAGAGAATAATCAGCAAATTGGACCAAAGATTTTTTGCAGATTTCTGTAACAAAGGACAGAAAGTAATGACCAAGAAAAACACTTTCCATTCATAGTGGTTAGGGACTATATTATCTTTGTATTATATTTTAAGTTGAAGTGGCTTAACAACCTAAGGTTTATTAAGAGTTAATAGCCTACAGGTTTTATTTTTTAAGATTTATTTACACATACAAAAGCTGGGGTGTAGGCCAGAGGTTGGGGGGGGAATAGGGGTGGGGTGTAAGGATTCACCTTAGATAGAGTGGGGAGTAGAACAGGCGGATCTACTGAAATACACTGCTGAGGGCAGCAGTGGGCGAGACAGGAGAGGACTGCTGCACCTTGTGTGCCAGCTCCCTGGCGGGGGATCGAACTCATGCTGCAGTGGCTGCAGATAGTGTCATAGTACTGAGACTTAACCTCCTGCACCACCAAAGAGGCCCGCCTATAGGTTTTAATAACCTAAATCCATTTTTAAACTTATCACTATGAAAAAATACATCCTAAATCCTAGGGAGCTAACTTACAAGTCACCATCTGAGAAACCATTTATTCATAAATTGAGGGTCCACATGAAGATTCTGGAGCAATGGCAATGATCAAGATGGCTCCTATCCTAGAAATGTTCACATGGCTTTCATACTCATGAAAATACTCCTTTAAACATATACACCTTTAATTATAAACAGATTTATCAACACATGCTTATCAGCTAGTCACCTTTTTCTCTCTCTTCATCACTAGCCATAGCTTCCCAATCATCCAATCCAGCATCCTCAGTTTCTTCTTCCTCTTCTATAAATAAAGGTTTTAATCAAAGACACAAAAGTTATCTAGCAATATCAAATTGCCTTTAGGAAAAAGTGGAACATTAGAGAAATGTTTGTGCAAAAAAAAATACAATCAATTATCTTTGGAATTACCTTTTAAATATAGCTAACAAGTTATAATTTGCTATTACTAAAAACTTTACAATTTCCTATTCGGAATATACCACATTAAACAACCCAGATTTTGTATTTGAAGTAATTAAAATGTTAGAAACCCCAACACTAAAATGTTCCTTCACTTCTTGAAACAGGTACATGATCACACTCAGTTCTTCAGGACAAATGAAATTTCACATCTTTTTTCTAATCTTTCACCTTAAACTTTAAAATTTTACTTTAACCTCCACAGATACTACTTAAATGACATGACTGAAGTACAAAATTACCACACCACTCCATTTAAAAGTAAGAACAGAATATTGTGCTTATAACTCCAGAACACCAGAAAGGTACCATTTCAAATATTAAGAATTTAATAAATGACCAACTTTTTTTTTAAACTAAAATCCAATCAAACAAAACTATTCTCAAATGAAAGATAAAGGTAAGACATGTGGTATTTTGCTTCCCTATAAAAATTATTTGTCAACAAGTTTGAAAAAGCCATCTTGAGGAAGAGGCAATGAGAGGAACATTACTAAAATATTCTTCTAAATAAGCAATTCTTTCTAGTGCTACAAACACCTAAAATAGTGAACTACTATCAATCATATCAACCTGAACTTCTCTAATTTTCATCATTCTATGCTGAGGTGGGCTCAGATAAATGATCCACTTTACAGTAAGAACAGGAAGGCAGTAAAGGAGGAAAGCTTTTCTCTAAAAAGCTTCTAGGGATTCTAAAAATTGTTTGCATATTCTCTCAAAATTCTCACTCTATCTTCTCTTGATTTGACCAAACATACATTTAACCCTCCACTGGCTCTCCTATTAATATCTAGTCTCAAGAAATAACATTTTTATATGATTTTTAAAAACCCATGCATGCCACTTTATTTATAAACAGTATTTTTTTTTAAAAAGATTTATTTATTTATTTAATTATTTATCTATACAAGCACTGGGTACAGTCAGAAGTGCAGGAGGGTGAGAGAATTCACCAGAGCCAGAGTGGGGAGCAGAGCAGGCAGAAGGACCAAAGTACACTGCTGAGGGGAGGAGCGGGCGCGGCAAGAGAGGCCTGTTGCGCCATGTGGGACCCTCGCTGGTGGCCGGGGATCAAACCGGCGCTGCAGAGGCTGTGGGCAGCTTTGCAGCCCAGCACTCAACCACTGCACCACCAGGGGAGGCCCCTAAACAGTATATTTTTATTGTGTAACATTGGTTTACAACACTGTATGATTTAGGGGTAGAGGCTCATCCTTATTCAAATATATGTTACCACTCTCTTTTTTCTTAAGAAAATTCATTTATGCTAAAAAAGGGAAGGAAACTGCTTCTACAAATTAAAAATGAGTAAGTTGAGTCTATTTCTGAAGGCAGAATTTGCTTCTGCAGGATTAAGTAATTTCAGAACTTCTTGCCATAACCTAAGATTTCTGGCCCATAAAAACATCCAAAAATGTAAAAACCTCTATCGTCTGTACAAAACATTTTGTTGACACTACTGAAAAGAGCAAAATTGGTTCAAGTCTCAGTGCCACATTTTTTCAAAGTGAAAATGAAAACGATCATCTAGAAAAAAAAAAGCTATGCAGATATTTGATAATGATAACTTAGACAACTTAAGACATCAATTCTATTTAATAAGTTATTAATTAGATAATGTTACTGGCCTGGTTCAACAGGAGGTGGTATCTCCTCTTTTTCTGGTATTCCTTGTTCCAAAACTTCTACAGCAGAACTTAATTCTATTGGTTCAGATACTGAAAAAAGGACAGAAACCAAGTTAATATTTTTTCAGTCTATATTTCCTCGTAAGATATTCCTAAGTATTGCGTAAAAACCAGTCTTACATACCTAAATTCTTCAGCAACTTTAGTGAACATTTAAACAGTAGTCATGTGTTTTATAGGAAACACTGGTTTTTCTTTATAGTCAAGGAAAAAAAATGTAAAATTATAGGAGGTTGAAAAGTAAATAAAGAAAAAATGATACTTCCATTTTTTTAAGGATATTCATAGGGTAGAATTCAGATGTTTTAAACAAAAGTATTTTTCCATTAGCCTATTGTCTGAATTCAGCTGACAATGGTGAATAATATTAATAAGAAACAAGTTATAGGAAATATTTCAATATACATTTCTGACTTGATTTCTTTTTATAAGAATCAGTTTTGAAATTCTGAGGAAAAGGCAAACAAAATTGTTTCTAAATAACCAGATATTCTACAAACCTTCTTTATTTTCTAGCTGCTGTGGTGATTTTTTCTTCTTTTTGTCTTCATAAATTGGCCTTTTCTTTGGCAAAGTGTCTTTTGATGGCACTTCAACACCTGAGAGATAAAAATGGAAAACTTCAGGTTGATAATACTTGTATGTCACTTAAGAAATAAATCTTTAAAAAATTTTCATCACTTTAGAGATACATACCCTACAATCTAGAACATTCATGGAACCATCTTTTTGATATAAGGTATTTTAAATTTTACATACCATAACATTCTTTTGACAGTTATGTAGCCACCATCATAATGAAGGTAAATAATAGTTACATTACTGTTCTGTGTAGTCAGACCCTACTCACATCCTTACAACCATGAATCCATCCCAAAAGATTTGCTTTTTTTTTTTTTTAAAGATTTATTTATTTATACAAGCACTGGGTACAGTCAGAAACACGGGAGGGTGAGAGAGTTCACCAGGTTCAGAGCAGGGAACAGAACAGGCAGACTGACGAAGTACACTGCTGAGGGGAGCAGTGGAAGCGGCAGAAGAGGTCTGTCGCACCATGTGGGACCCTTGCCAACGGCCGGGGATCAAACTGGTGCTGCAGAGGCTGTGGGCAGCTTCACAGCCCAGCGCTCAACCGCTGTGCCACCAGGGGAGGCCCCCAAAAGATTTGCTTTTTGATCCTTAGTTCCTGACAACCACTAATCCATCCCCAAAGATCTAATTTTTCCAAAATGTCACAGAAATGAAACTGTATATATAGCTTGGCTTCTGTCATAATAGATTTGAGACCATGATATGTACCAGCATATCATTTCTTTTAACTGGTATCATTCCATTGTACTGATGCACCACAATTCCCTTTATTCATTCAACAGTCAGACATGAGTTGTCTCTAGCTTTTAACAATGTTGAAGAAAGGTGCTGGAAACATTTGTTTGCAGGTTTTTGTGTAACAGTCCTCTGGAATAAATATTTTGGAGTGGGAATAATAGAATATTAAGTAAACATTTCAATATACAGCAAAGTAACTGTTTTCCAAAGTAACTTTACAAATTATTATATTAATATATGAATATATATTAACATATGAAGAGTCATAATTGTTCTGCTGAAATCTTTTGCCCATTTTTAAATATAGCAGTTGGTTTTCTTATAGTAGAATTCTGGGTTACTTTTATTATTCTGGATATTAGTCTTTTGACAGATTAAGTGATCTGCAAGCACTTTATATAAATTCTCTCAATGGTGTCTTTTGCAGAGCCAAAGTTAATTTCCTCAACTTTGTTATTTTTTTCTTTACAGATTAAACTTTAGAAATCACAACTAAGCCTTTCTTCCTTCTCTAACACAAGGTCACAAAAATTATCTTTTATGTTTTCCTCTAAAAGTGTTACACTTTCCTTTATATTTAGATCTATGATCCATTTTGAGTTTTTATATAATAAGTGAGATTTTAGGACTAAGTAAGGGGTTTTGGGCATACAGACTTCCAATTGTTCCAATACCACTTATTGCCAAAACTACTATACAGGGGGAAAAAATAAAAAGACCATACCCTATACAGACTTTTTTATAATGAGGTAACCCTAAATTACAACATTGTATAGGTTTCAGGTATACAATTTCTCACTTCAAAAACTATACATATTACACCACATCTACTATCAAACATCCACACTGTCGTCTACTGATCTGTCTATCCTTTTGCCAGTATCACAACGTCCTGATTACCATGGCTTTATAGTAAGTTTTGAAATTTGATACTATGAAATCTTCCAAACTTATTCTTTCTCAAAGATACTTTGGCCATTGTAACTCCTTTGTCTTTCCACATATATTTTAGAAATCACAGATATCCACAAAATAGTTTGCTGCAATATTGACTGGCACTGCATTGAATCTACAGATCAGTTTGGGAGAATTTATAACCTAACAGTAACAAGTTACCCAATTTGCCTCCCTGGTGGTGCAAGGGGTTAAAGTCAGCACTATCAAGCAATTGCCAGCCACTGAGGCATGAGTTCAATCCCTGGCCAGGGAGCTGACCCACACAGCACAGCAAACCTCTGCTGTCTCGCCTACTGCTCCCCTCCACGAACCTCTACTGTCTCCTACTGCTCCCCTCCACAGTGTAGTTCAGTTGATCTGCCTGTTTTGTTCCACGATCTATCTCTGCTGAATCCTCTCACAGCCCTCCCCCACCTCTGGCCTATACCCCAGTTCTTGTATGCATAAATAAAATAAATCTTAAAAAAAAAAAAAAAAAAAAACAGGGCCTCCAGGTGGCACAGGCGGTTAGCACAGCGCCGTGAAGCTGTCTGCAGCCTCTGCAGCACGGGTTCAATTCTGGCCGGCCGGGAAGATACCCTCATGGCACAGCAGACCTCTCCTGTCCGGCCCGCTGCTCCCCTCAGCAGTGTATTTCAGTCTGCCTGTTCTGTTCCCCACTCTGTCTCTGGTGAATCCTCTCACCCTCCTGCACATCTGCCTGTACCCCGGTTCTTGTATACATGAATAAATAAATCTGAAAAAAAAAAAAGTTACCCAATCCACAAATGACAAACTCACTCCATTTGCATGAACCTAATATTTGCCTTATTTTCACTCATGTTGCCACCGTTATGTATGTTCTGATCACAAATTTGATTTATTAGCAATCTTTTGTATGAGCTACCAAATTTATAGACTAAATTAACAAGACAAAGCAACTCAACACCGTCAAGTAACTGCTACATATTTCAGACTAGCATGCTCACTGATCTCAATTTAATAAGAATGTTTGGACTTTGAAATGTACAGTGAAACATGACACAAAATACTTAACTTGTCATGAAATAAAATAAGTTTAAAATACATAGTAAGTAGAATAATGTCCCCACTATCACCAAAGATGCCCATGTCTTAGTCTCCAAAACAGGTGAAAAGGTTACATAACATGGTAACAAAGATGTTGCAGGTGTAAGATTAAAGACTTTAAGATGGAAGAGATTATCTAGATGAGCCCAACCTACTTCACAATACACTAAAAGTTAAGATTCTTTCACTGAAATATAGACTGAAGTCAGAGGAAGATGTGACTATGGAAGTATGGACAGTGATGTAACATTTGGTGGCTTTGAAGATGAAGGAAGTTATAACCCAACGAATATGTGAGTGGCCCTTGAAGACAAGAAGGGAACAGATTCTCCCCTACAAACTCCAGAAGAGGAAACTGCCAACAATTTAGACAAGTGAAAATCATGTCACACTTCTGATCTATGAAAAGTAAGATAATTACATTTATGTTGTTTTAAGTCACTAAAGTTGTGGTGATTTGTTATAGCAGAAATAAAAAACGAATGCTAAGTATAACCAAAGTTTTTATTATCATTATAAAAACAAAGTAAGTTTACTTTTTCTCACTATGGACAGTGTGACTAGTGGTTAGCAAACAAAAGATTCAATTAAAAAGTGACTTATCTAAAATAAGAAAGTTAGTATTAGAACAATAATCTGTTACTGTCTGAATTCATAGTTCCTATTATCCAGTTCTGAATATGTGTATAATACTTTCTCCCAGAAAGAGCAAATAAATCTTAACAAATTAAGACACAGAAGAGCAAACCAACATCAAATCTGATTTCCAAGTAACATTATTGAATTTGAGGAGACTACATCTTTATCAGTTAGTGGTGAATCCCCAAATTAGAGAGCGGAAAACAAAATGGTTCTCTATTGCACTCATTCCTCCCCATTCACATAACAAACTTAGCAAAGAGGTTCTACATATGTTGGGTTACTGACAGTCTCTTACTAATGGCAGAAATTTTATAATAAAGATAACAGTAAAAACTGTTTACTGTGGGATTTGAATAAAGTTGTTAAAAAAAGGAAAGTCACTTAAAATGTCCTTAATATTATGAATGTATGTAAGTGCAGAGACTGATTATAACTGTAAAACCAGGGCTATTGCTCTGATAAGAGGCATACATTAAACAAACAAACCCAAATAAAAGAATAAAAGCTGGCTGCTAATTAAAGATAGTTGGGTTGCCCAGAGTTCTCCCAGTCTACCTACATCTAGTACATAAAAGCAAGGGCCTGGGGGAAAATTGTGCTCTGCATAATTTGAAAGTGGTCCCAACAACACCCCAGCTTAATCAACTATTTCTCTAGTTAACAAACTGCTGTATTTGTAATCACTTTGTGTTCAGATATTACAGTCACTGTGCAAAATGAGACATTACAATCAAGTTCTTATAGAAGTTCTTTGCCTGAAGTGAGTTAATTCCAAATTATTTATAAGGACTGTTATATGCTTAGTAGTCACAGGATAAAAACTACAGAATATACTGAAAAGGTAACCTGCTACATCTTTCAGAGTAATTAATTATATGAAAACATTTGCAAATAATATTCTGTAAGAATATATTTTGGATTCAATGGGTTAGTTTTATATTATTCTAGGTGATAAAAGTGACAGTTGTTCTTTACCTAAAAAGGTAACTTCAAAAGATCGTGAAACAATACTTTGGTGTCTTCTCATGAGATGACACAAGCGAGCAAACTATGGAAGATCTTTAATATCAAGCTAAGTAGTTTCAACTTTATTAAGAGACTAGGGACAGAGATGCCACTTGAGAGATCATCACTTCCAAGCCTGTCCTAAAGATTGACGTAAATTCATCATTTTAAATCACAAATTTTCATCTAATCTCATAAACTCAAGGCTACTCCTTAAAAGTTATTTGTAATAATGGCAAATTACACCCTGCTTGGTCGCATTATAATTTCTTCATGAGTAGCCTTTCCGATAGCTAATAGTAAAATCTGATTTCTGAATGCTAATTGTACTCAAATTTATTCTCAAATTCTATCTTTTAAAAAACTATATCTAGAAAAATAAAACTTTCTGAAATACAGGTACTGTGTTTCTCTACTACTCCTCATAGCTGAACATAAAATGCATAATAAGGAGTCACACAGTTCAGCTTATATCTTAGCTCTAGGACTTCAAGGGCAAGCTGTTTAAGCTCTCTGAATCTTCATTTAACCATCTATATGATGGGAAAGAAAATATCTGCAAGCTTTTATAAGGAAACAGTATCAAGGGTTTATAATAGCATCAATTACATACTAAATAACATAGTAAATGGTAGTTATTACTATAATTACAGCATAAGCACCAAAATTACTGTAACACAAATCCTGTGAAATGTAAATACAGAAAATTAAAGGAGGTCCCAATGTATTCTATTCAAAGGAGCAAATACAAGACTTTAAATCATCTTAACAGTCAAAAACATAATTATTTGTATGTCCAGTTGTGAACTCTAAACTAAAAGAATCCTGGCTCCTCAGTTAAACATCTAATTCCAGGTATAGGGTAAGAAAATGCAAGATGAACTTAGAATTATCTTGTTTTGCAAAAAAGCAAGGAAAAGGTCAGTGAACACTGTGCTTATGTGAAAAAGTCACAAGGAACAACCTGAATGGGCTCCTGCTGCACCATTTCATGAAATACCAATTTCATGAATAACACATCAATTACATTCATTAATATAAACTAACATGCATCAAAAGAAAAAAACCTCACTGGTCACCTTTGTAGATTGGTAGGCTACATATTTGCTTTTTTTTTTTTTTTTTTTTTTTGAAAAGAGAAAAAATTAAGCATTTTTATCCTGGCTTTCCTATATGAATTGCATTTTATTGAAAGTTTTTCTTTAGAGAAAGAGACTAATAAATGGAGAAGGAAAAACAGAATTTAAGCTGCCTGTTATTATCAACTGACCATTAAAATTATTACATAAAAGTAAATGGAGAACTTTTAAAATGAGTAACTCTGCCAATACCTAAATCCACTGATCAGTTCTGACATTACAATAAGTGACACAACCAGATCATGTGTTTCCTAACATGAGGCAACAGGAAATGCACAGCACCAACAGCAAGTCATCTATAGATCTAAGAAATTATTAAGAATAAAAAAGTGTATTAGCCATATCAGAATAAAATTTCACAAATCTGGAATACAGGAAATTCTAAAGAATCCAGCATTTTCAACAAATAAATGGCATGCCAAAACTAAAGGTGATAGTGGTTATTAGTGACAGATTTAGCATACTAAAACACAGTGTATGGATCTAGTCCTGTTCCTGACTTGAACCAATCAATTATAAAAGACATTTTGGAAACAAATTAAAAAAAATTAAACATAGACACAAATCAGATGATACCAATGAATTAATTTTGCTAGATTAATGTTATTACTTTGTTTTATTATAGCATATTCACAGGAGTTCTTGATTCAATCCCACTCTCCCTTTATCATTAAACTGATTTGATTGCCTGGAAAAAACTTGTTGACAGTTCAATTAATTAAAAATACTACTCACCCTGAGCTTGAAGAAGTTTAAGTGTAGCTTCAGCTCGGGCTCTGGCTTCTCTCTGGGATTTAGTTAAAAGTTTCCCTTCTTTTTTCAAGCGTTCTTTTCTTTCTTTTTCTTTTTGCTTTTTCCTTTCTCTTTTTTCTTGTTCCAATCTTTCCTATAGAATACATGTCAGAATAAAATATTAGCTTAATTGTAAAACTTAGTGTAAACAACCCTAACTTCAAACAAAGTTCTTGAGATACCTGCAAAATATTGCTAGATTACAAATGAAAATATTTCAAATGTTGTACATGATTACTAATTAACATCACATTAGAGTAGACTGTGTCTGTAACGATATATAAACAACTTCTGTCTGTATCTGAGGAAATAAAGGTAGGATTTTTCTATACCTTTTCATATTTTTATATCAGAAAAATAATGTAGCTGAATTACCATACAACTATGAAAATGTTTTTAATTAGAAAGATATTTTATATAGAAGAAATTTTAAGTGAAACACAGTAAATGCAAATTCATGAACACATACCTCTTCTTTACGTTTGGCTTCTAATTCTTCAAGTCGTTTTATACGTTCTTCTTCTTCTCTTTTCTGTCTCTCTTCTTCTTCTTTAAGCTTAGCCAAAGCTTCCTGCATAGCTTTAACTGTGGCTTTGCTAGGTCCTTTTTTCTTCTCTTTTTCCTTTTCTTCCTTTTCTCCTTTCTTTTTCTTCTTATCTTTTTTCTTTTTGTCTCCATCATTGTCATCTACCAAAAATGAGAAGCAGCTGTTTTTAAGACTATACTAGGACAAGGCTGTTAGGCAGCAGGCTGGGATCTCTAGGCATCAGGGTATCCTAAGAACTTGCGTATTCAGAGCACTTATGCACCTGAGTAACCAGAAAAGCTCAGAACAACATATTTTGCCTCCTTGGGAGCCTAAATGTTGATGTTGCTCTGAGTTGTCCTGAGGGTTGCAAAGGTAGCAGAAGGAACTTGTTAGCAGGGAAAACATTATACTGTATCTAAGGCACCTGTAAATCCACAGTGTCTGAATTTCAGCCTAAATTCTGTAGCTAGTTTTGCTTCTATAAGAAGGGAATAAGAATGATGCCTACCTCCAGGTGGAATGGGGGAGAGGGGAACACAGTGAACTAGGATGGAGGACTACAGGTATTTTGGTGGTGGGAAAGCCATAGTGATCAAATCTGAGAGGAGAAAGCCTATACTGTCAAAAAAATTAAGGAAGTAAAATAATGGTTCCTCATTAAATATTAATTAAAATTAAAATTTGAAAAAAAAGATGGCTACCTTAACAGGATATTATAACCATTCCCAAAAATATAGATAACCATTCTCCCAGAACTCTGCAGCATTATGCTAAACAAAGTTATGTAGCTTTCATGTTGCTTTAACTCAAAGATATTTAGAAAATAAAAATTCTACCTTTATACAATTTTCTCATTAAAATCCCATTATACAATGTTCCAAGTTTTCTAAGAAAAATTATGTGACTCATTTGAAATATAAACTATTTTGATTCTGAATAAGGGAATACTTACTTAGCTTATTTTGTGATAAGTGATTCTGGTTCCGAAACATGGCTCATTATTGTTTAAACTATAATTTCATCATGTTTTCACTTTTCCATATCATAGTTTAAATTGGGTTTTTAAAAAATAAAGAATTCAGGCATTTTCTGACAGTTATGATTAAGAATAATTTTTCATAAGGTAATTTCCAGTCTACCAACAGTTAAGTTGTTTTCAGCAGCAAAATTCTACAAAAATCCTAATCTTCCTATAAACCCATTTGGAATGTATTTTATACTATATGTAATACATGTTTTATATATAACACCTTAAATACGATTATCAATTCAAAGATTACGTAGATGTCATTTTTCAAAGGATTCTTACAATTAAGTACCTTCACAGTCAGTAACAAAATGACTTTAGGGCATAACGATCAAAACAGACTAAATGTGAATCAAAATGTTTCCTCAATGTGCCCTTTTCTCAATATTACCAACCTTCAGCAGCTGTGGGAGTCTCTCCTTTCTCTTCAGAGGTAGGGGTTGCTCCAATATCGACAGTCACTTTTGATTTTATAGCTTCCTCTTCAGATTTCTTTTGAGATTCTTTTTGTTTACTTTGATCTTTTTTCCCAGTTTCTAACTCTTCTTTCTCTTTCAGTTTCCGCAGTTTTGCCTTTTCTTCATCTCGTTTCTTTCTTTCACGCTCTTTCTTTTCTGCCTTCTTTTGGGCCACTGTCTTAATTTTGAAGGAGGAGTCATCATCTTCATTTCCACTTTCTACATTAGGACATGACTTATTTTTTTGATTTTTTTTCTGTCCTTTCCTAGACTGTAAAAATTCATCTGATTCATCACCACTTTCACCTGAAGAATTTACTCTGGAACGCTCTTTAGTTCTTTTATTGTTATCTTCATCTTCTTCTGACCCTTCCAACTTTTTATTTGATTTTTGAGCTTTCCCTTTGGGCTTTTTATTAAGTTTACTGAAGTCGTCATCATCATTATCACTCCCAGAATATATTTCTACTTTTGGTTTTGCAGTATTTTTTGATTTAGAATCTTTATCCTCCAATTCTTCACTATCATCATCAAAACTTTGTTTTTTTCCTTTCTGTCCTTTCTTTTTTTTATCTTGTTTAGAGGCGGATTCTTCTTCATTATTTTCTGTTGGCTGAAAAAAGTACATTTTTAGAAATATTAATAATTGTATTTTATTTTTTAAATAATCAACTCCTCAGACTCAAGTGTTTCACTAAGTACACATAAGAAAAACTCTTAAAATAATCTCAATATAATTCCTTTCTACAAGAATATAAACCAAGTCCCAGAAGCTAGTACATCAGGTACATCTCATATTCACAGTACATATCAGAATCCAGGTACTCTGAAGCAAGCACTACTCACCAGTCCATATTTACTATCTTATTCAAATGGAATACAACATATAGGAGGAACACTGAAAGAAGGAAAAATACCACTTTCCCATTACTATGATCTAATACAAATACAAAGGATGAAAAAGAAATAATACAGATAATTGGAAATATAGATGGGAAATGTTTTATCTCCAAATGTACCAATTTTATGAACACAAAATACCTTTACATTCCCAAATAAAGCATTTTATATCTGGGAAAGGTTTTTTAAATACTTTTTTCCTTTCCTAAAAACTTTTCCCACTTTGGCATCAGAATTTATAGAACTTTTAACTGGCATATTAATGTTGCTCAAGAGTTCCTAAAAGCAGCTCCCTAAAAGTGACACTTGGAAGTATGGGAAACAGCAATGTCTTTCACCTTTACTGCAGCAGTTTCTCTGTCAGCTTTGATGCCTTGAGCTTCCCAAGATAATTCTTCCAGTTCTTTTAGGATATCATCTTCACTAGAAAAGGATTAAAAATATATTTTGAGGACTGAACTGGTTTAACAGTGAATCTAGGACAAAAGCTAATAAAAACCAATTATACTTACTCGAAGTCTTGCCTTTTTCTCTCCTTTTTCTTTTTCCCCTTTGACTTTTGAGGTTCCTGTTCCTTGGCAGCACCAGCTCCTTCTATTTCTGCAGCCAAGGCATCAATGTCGTCCTTGGCACTTATATGAAGACAAAAAAAGACCCAAGTGTTACTCAAGAGCAAAATAACCTATCTCATTCACATACAGAGAGTTTTTTAAAATAACGTTAGCCTTTGAATTTCATGCAGTAGCGTCCACTGAAAACAAATAATTTGGCATGTTTTTTTCACGACAATACTTGAGTTATATCTACTTTTTATCAGTCTTCCTACACCTGTTTTCATAAACTTTCTAGGTTACACTAAAATCAGAAAGAGCTACAATGAAGAGCTCAGTACAAAGAAGTTATTCAAGAAAGGATAATTTTGTTGATACCAAAGTTTTGTTGTGTCTGAATGGAGTTATTTCTAAAACAGAGAAAACTTAGAAGATAAAACTAGTGTGGTTACTTGACGATAACAACATTTAAATATTTGAACATCTATACATTTTTACTTGGAATAGCAGAAATTTTAGACCATGAAAAAAAATTAACAATCTTGTCTATTAGCTCACTTAATCAATGGGAAAACCAAAATGCATGATATTTAATACCTTGAGCAACAGATGACTACACATCCAAAATCTAAATGAATAATTATGCACTAAATAAAACACATAGAAATAAAACATATAGAACATCCCAAAATACAGAACCAAATCTACTCAATCTTGTTACTCCTGCTTTCATATCTGGCTCCATTCCAATCTGTCCTCATCTACCAATATTTCTTGGAGTAAGCCAAATTTCAGATAAAACCTACAGAATACCGGAGGGGGCGGAGCAACATGGCGGCGAGGAGACGCTGCGAGTAAGATCTCCCATTAAAAAAAAGTTAATAGGGAAGAAAAGCGGCAGGTCCCAGTGAGAACTGGGACACGGAAGATAAACGGACGACTCCAGCAAACTACCCGAAGAAGAAAGTGGCCATAAAAGAGGACTAGAAGGGAGGAAAAGCGCAGAACCCTGCTCCACTCCCCCACCCACAGAGTCGGCACTCTCCGACCAGCAGAGAGGAGGGAAAAAACACACTAAAACGACCAACAAGAACAAACTACGCAGCAAGCGGGACTGTGAGTGGAAAGGAACTATTGCAGCCACCACACCCCGTGAACTGGAGCTGTGGAGAACCCTGCAGGATTCACCGCGGCGGTGAGCGAACGGCTCCTGGCGCCATTAGAGAACAAAGAGACTCTGGAGGAGACCTGCACACAGCCCCGGGCCGGCCGGTAAGCTTGCGCGGAAAAGCGGCACGCTTGGCACGCTTGAAAAGCAAACGCGGATCGGGATCGCGGCTGCCCAGGTCCCCTTGCCTGCGACCTAGGCTTGCGGGGAGACGCGCGGAGGCCCTCACTGAGGTGAAAGTCCCTCACTGAGGAAGCAGGAACCAGGCGCCCAGGCACGGGAGCAGGTGCAAAAGGCGCCATTCCCGCGCCACTGAACTGGGCTACAGCCCGCATCCTGGACCTGAGGGCTTTGGAACTGAGACCTGGGGCACGAAGTTCGAGGCGTGGGTTCTCCACGACGGTGGGGCACAAGGCAGACACAGCACCCCAAAGCCGTTGAGGTATACCCTACCATTCCCGCTCTGTTCCCTGTCCCACGGGGTGGGGGGGTGAAAAACAGCCCCCCAAGGACAATAGGAGAGCTCTCTGGTGCCACCTAGCGAACAGAAAAAAAAAAAACTCACTAACACCCCATAGAACAGGGAAATTTCTTAAGATTGCTTGAAAAGGGCAGAAGGCTCCTGGAGGAGACAGTGGCCAGCTGGGAAGTTAGCCCGCGCCAGGCCCCTTCCGACCAGCAGTCTGAGCCCACAGAGGGAACAGGCACCCACGGCCAGGGCAGACCGGGCGCGCAGAAGAGTGTGCCTGAGACCGGATGCTCAGGGACTGAATCCTGCATTGCCATTTTAGAACAGGGACATTTCTTCAGAAAAGACTTCCTGAAACCAGCAGAAAGCTCCCTCAGAAGCCAGAAATGGCTCCTGGAAGAGCCAGAGGGGAGCGGAGAAGTTCACCCAAGTGCCGGCCAGTCCGAGCAACACAGTGTCCCAATGCATACGACAAATTAGAAAACAGACAGTAGGGAGTAGAAGAACCACACGCAACCTAACAACTCCTCAGGAAAAAAGCACACCACAAAAAGAAAACCACCCCCCAGATTACAACGACAGTAACTTGGAAGAACTTCTGAGCCTTCCAGAAATAGAATTTAAAATTGCCGTGATTAAAAAAATGACAGAACTCATAAAGGAAAACAATGATCAGAAGAAGGAAATTGAGTCCCTAAAGAGGGAAGCAAAAGAAACGCAGGAGATCAAAGAATTAATGGAGGAACTAAAGAACTCTGGGAAAAGCAATGAAAGCAGAATAGATGAAATGGAAGAACGAATAAGTACTCTTGAAGACACAGAAATAAAAAGAACCAAAACAGAAAAGGAAAGAGAAGTACGAAGGAAAAAGAACGAAGAAAGACTTCGGGAACTATCTGACTCCATGAGGAAAGGAAATATAAGAGTTATAGGAATTCCAGAAGGAGAGGAGAGAGATGTAGGAACAGAGAAAATATTCCAGGAGATAATTGAAGAGAACTTCCCAAACGCGAAGAAGGAGCTGAAAATTGATATACAAGAAGCAAGAAGAACACCAAACTTCCACGACGAAAGGAAAAATACAGCAAGACACATAATAATCAAGGGGACAATACTTCAAGAGAAATAACACTCATTAACATATACTCACCAAACGAAGGAGCACCAAAATATATCAGACAACTGTTGTCCTCTCTGAAAACAGACATCAGAGAAAACACATATGTAGTGGGAGACTTCAACACACCACTATCAACAATGGATAGATCAACAAGACAAAAAATAAGAAACTAAAGCTCTAAATAAGGACCTAGAGCATTTGGGCTTAACAGACATTTATAGAACACTAAACCCCCAAAAAACGGAGTACACATTTTTCTCAAGCGCACACGGATCATTCTCCAGGATCGATCACATACTGGGGCACAAGACAAACATCAACAGATACACCAAGATTGAAATCATACCAACCATCTTTTCTGACCATGAAGGCATCAAACTAGAAATAAACCATAAAAAGGAGGCAAGGAACTTTCCTACCTCATGGAGATTAAAAACCACACTACTGGAAGACCACTGGACTAATGAGGAGATCAAAGAAGAAATTAAAAAATTCTTTGAATTGAATGACAAGGAGGACACCAATATCCTAAATGTATGGGATGCAGCAAAAGCAGTAATAAGAGGAAAATATATAGCAATAGAAGCTCACATCAAGAAACAAGAAAGAACTCAAAGAAACAACCTAATCTCGAAGCTCAAAGATCTAGAAAAAGAACAACAAAAAAACCCCAAAACCAGTAGAAGAAAAGAAATAATAAAAACCAAAGCAGAAATAAATGAAATTGAAACTAAAAAAAACAATCCTAAAGATCAATGAAACCAAGAGCTGGTTCTTCGAAAAAATAAATAAAATAGACAAACCCCTAGCCAGGCTCACAAAGGAAAAAAGGAGAAAGCACAAATAAACAGGATCACAAATGAAAGAGGAGAAATCACAACAGACACAGCAGAAATCAAAAGAATAATCAGTAACTACTATGAACAGTTGTATGGAAACAAGTTCAACAATCTAGAGGAGATGGACAAATTCCTACAACTCTACAATCACCCAAAGCTAGATAAAGAAGAAATAGAACACCTAAACAGACCAATTACAATTAGCGAAATTGAAATGGTAATCAAAAACCTCCCCAAAAACAAAAGCCCAGGACCTGATGGATTTCCAAATGAATTCTACCAACCATTCAGAGATGAATTAGTGCCTATCCTTCACAAACTCTTTCAAAAAATTGAGAAGGAAGGGACAATACCAAACACGTTCTATGAAGCCAACATTACACTAATACCAAAACCGAACAAGGACAACACAAAAAAGGAAAACTACAGGCCAATCTCCCTAATGAACACTGATGCAAAAATCCTCAATAAAATTTTAGCTATCAGAATCCAACAATGTATCCATAAGATAATTCACCACGACCAAGTAGGATTCATTCCAGGGACACAAGGATGGTTCAACATCCGAAAATGAATCAATGTTATCCAACACATCAACAAAAAGAAATATAAAAACCATATGATAATATCAATAGATGCTGAGAAAGCTTTTGACAAAGTGCAACACGCATTCATGATAAAAGCCCTTGAAATTCTTGGGATACAAGGAACATACCTCAACATCATAAAGGCCATCTATGACAAGCCAACAGCCAGTATCATTCTCAATGGTGAAAAGCTGAAAGCAATTCCATTAAGATCTGGAACAAGACAAGGATGTCCACTCTCATCACTGCTCTTCAATATAATACTGGAAGTCCTAGCCAGAGCAATAAGACAAGAGAAAGACATCCAAGGAATCCCAATAGGAAAAGAAGAAGTCAAACTATCACTATTTGCAGATGATATGATAATATACATAGAGAACCCCAAAAACTCCACAGAAAAACTAATTCAACTCATCAATCAGTTCAGTAAAGTGGCAGGATACAAAATCAACACGCAAAAGTCAGTAGCCTTCCTATACACAAACAATAAATCTGAAGAAGAAATCAAAAAAACCATCCCTTTTATTATTGAAACAAAAAAAATCAAATATTTGGGAATAAATCTAACAAAAGAGGTAAAGGACCTATACAAAGAAAACTATAAAACACTGTTATAAGAAATAGAAGACACAAAGAAATGGAAAGACATCCCCTGCTCATGGATTGGAAGAATAAACATTATTAAAATGGCCATCCTACCAAAAGCAATATACAGATTCAATGCTATTCCAATCGAAATTTCAATGTCATTCTTCAAAGAAATAGAACAATTATTGATGAAATTCATATGGAATCACAAAAACCCCGAATAGCCAAAGCTCTCCTGAAAAAAAGAGAAGGGAATGGAGGCATCATACTCCCAGACTTCAAACTATACTACAAAGCCATAATAATCAAA